CCTCCAGCAGGTACCGTTCCGCTCCCCCCCCAGCCAGTAGTGGTAGCGCCCTGATGAGGGAGGGGGACAGGGGCGAGGACTCTCCTTGCGGAGCGGGGGCACTCATTGGGCGCGGGAAGATTCCAAATGTGTGCGCGGGGGGCGGGGTCCCCTTCCAAGCGCTCATTGGGTGCAGGAAGGTTCCGTGTGTGTATACATATAGACATATATGTGCGTACGTGTGTGTGTGTGTGTACACACATACATTATATATATATGCGTAGTTAAAATGCCTCTTGAAACAAACCAAAGGCCGGATTCACTATCCATTGAATTATTGGCAGAGTTTTCGTTGCTTTCAGTGGCGGCAGGATCTGGCTCTAGGTTTAGACTGAATCTGTTATAAAAGCTGTAGTCTGTTTGTCTGTCCATAATGCTTTATTCACACTCTGATTGGCGGATGGAAACAACCAATCAGAGTGTGAATACAGCGTTTGGACAGGAGGTAGTAGGATGGCATGGTGGTGGGGAAGCTGGCACAGCTGGCCCACACCCCCCCTCCACTGCGCTGCTCCCTGGAGCTAGTGGCAATGGAACTGACGGAACAGAATAGGGGGCTAGGTGAGCAGAGCTGGTCTTGCCCCCCACCCCCCCTTGCTCCTTAGAGGTGGCAGCAGTGGCATGGAGGGGGGAGTGGTGTTGGGACACCATGTGGGGGGGGGGAGGTGAGATCAGTGCTGCGGCCTCGCCCACTTTTTCTCCCATGTTATTCTTTCCCGATGTGGGGGCATCCGCGGGGAAGGGGGGCAGCAGACCAGGACCAGCGGGGAACGGAGCGGGTCCGGCCTTGAAACGCTGTGGGGGGGCATGCCAGGCCCAGCCCTGAAACAAGTCGAGCCTGGTGCCGGCCCCACAATGGATGGTATAGGTGTGGGGGGCTGCGCCAGGCCCTGCAACAGCAGCGGGGGGTGGGCAGACCTGGTCCGGTGGCAGAGTAGGGGCACAGGGGAGCAGGCCTGCACCCTGTTCTCCTTCTCCCTCCCCCAGCCCAACTCTGTGTAGGAGGCTTTAGCACGGGGTGGGGGGGGGAGGAACGAGGTCGGAGCCATTGCAGTGAGGTGGGGAGTGGCCTTGAACCCAAACTGCTGGGGGAAGTGGGGTCAGGCCTGAAGCGACTGGGGGAGGGAGAAGGAGAACAGGGTCAGGCCTGAATTGTGGGGGACGGGGCCAGGCAAAGTGAGCAGTGATGCAAGGCCCAGGGACGCTGGGCTCTGTCCCCGCCGGCTTCCTGGGTGGCAGGGGGAGGGAAGCGAGCCTGGCCCTGGGCCTCTGTTCCAACCCCACCATCCTGGCAGGCCATGGAGCAGATGGGCTAGTGGTGCTCGCCCTGGCCCCCCTGCTCCCTGCAGGCTGTGAAAACAGAGGCGGGGCAAGACCAGTGCTGCTGGTCACGCCCCCCTGGTATTGAACACAGTGGTGATGGAACGGTTGGGGGGGTGGGCAGCCCAGCCCCAAAATGGTGGGGGGAAGAGGGGAAGCGGGCCAGGTCCTGAAGATGGGGGAGGGAGGAGGCGGGAAGCGGGGCTGGACACAGGCTGCTGTCCACGGCCACGCCCCACCTACCCCCCTGTCATTTTTGACGGACAGTTGGCTAGTTTTTCTTTAAAAGCTAAGGTTTCCTTTTTTATATTGTTTTTAAAATAAGCCTATGGTTTGAGCTGTTTGGTTTTTCAGAAGTTGTTAATGTACAAGATGGTTTTGTTGAATGTTGCGTGTTTTTCATAGTGAACCTTATTTCTAGATAGGATTTTTTTCCCCCTGTGGCTGTAATGGATTGCTTTTGTGCTTCTTCGAATTTTGCTTATTTCAGAAAAGACTGAATAAATATCAAGTAAAAAAACCCCAACAAAACAATATTGTAACAAATGTTAATAATGCTGCAGAAATATGACTTTAGATGTTATCTGATCCTTTGTCAGATTCACATAACACCTGTAGGCTGGATAAAGATTTCTCAGTTCCTTGGATAATTCCCGCACAGAGCAGGAGAGATGCAGAAAGGTGTTAGATCAGTGGTGCTCAGCTTTGTGGCCCAGAGGTCTAGATGCGTGGCTTTTTGGCTAAGATCACACCAGAAAGGGAAGGGGGCTTCTGAACCCCAAGGCCTCCGGGCCTGGCCCTTGCACATTGGATGCTTGCCTGGATTTGGGTCATGTCTGAAGCCCCAGACTCATGGTTCTGGGAGGGAGGATGCTTGCCGTAGAGCTACACAGACTCAGTTGAATTTTGGAACTTGCCTACTGGGCATTGCGCAGTTGAATTTGGTACTGGTTTGGCCTTGATGAAGATAAAGATGAAGGGGAAAAAAAAGGTGTTAGATCAGTGGTACTTACCCTTTTCGCTCTGCGGTCCACATGAGTGGCACAGGACCCATCTGTCAGCCAGATTAGGTTTGGGGCCCAGCGCCACCCCATCCCACTCCTTTTGTCCCAGCATTTGGTCCCAGAGCTTCAACACCACCCTCTCCCAACCCTCCTACACTGGGATTGGGGCCTGGCACTATCCCTGCCAAGGCCTACCCACTGGGATCCAGTGTGTGCGGCCAAGGGCTCCCCATGGGTCCAGAGACTTGGCAGTAGGGCAGTGATGCCACTGCTCTCCTGCTGCCAAATTTCCAGACCTGTGGGGAGCCTCACAGGCCAGAGTTTTAGCCACCTATGTGTTAGATTAATCAACATGAGTATTACTAGTTAATAAACATCCTTGATTTGTGCACATACAGTAGACCCCCGATTTACTTGAGTATTGCATTCCGAGGGAATTTTGTGTAAGTTGAATTCGCAAGTCAGGGCAACTTTCCCCATAGGAAATAATAGAATAGTGAGGGGTTGCATACTACAAACGTACCTTAGTCATAGCTTTTTTTCCCCTTTTCTCAGGGGAATCGCCTTTAGGAGGCATGTCTAGTGTCTCACCTGTGCATCTTGAGATGCCAGTACCACAGTGGTGGCACAGCTCCGCTTGATTCCACCTGCAGATCTTGTGAGGTGTTTGCATATATATGCGAGTCTCGCAAGCATTCGTGTATATATACACGAATGACGTGCATCTCGAGGAGCATTTTCCAGTCCAGACCCTAATAAAAAAAATCGCATAAACACGAGACACGTGTAAGTTGGAATCACATAAATCGGGGGTCTGTATGTTGTTTATGAATTCTTTTGGGAGTGGAGCTGCTCTACTACTTACTTTTCTTTCTTCTTTACAGAATTTAAATGAGTATGTAGCTGCATTAATTGCACTGAAGCAAAAAATATTTGACACAGAGTAAGTACAAATGCTCTTTTTGTGCAAATACGCCTTTACCATTCTTAAGTTTAGTAGTTTTGTTTAGGGGAGATAGCACGACAAAGCTGTTTTGGTATAAATTCTTTATTGTCCTTGTGGATGTTGGTTTTCAAGGGATTGTTACTTCCTCAGGGAGAAGCTCAAGATGAGACTGTGAAGATTGTTGTGAGCACAGAAATGGAATGTCCATGATACATAGAGAGACATCATGCTATGTGTTCATATCATTTCAGCCCTTCTTATTTGTTTAGCTTTCAACCTTGTGATAAATATTGCAAAAATGTTTCTAATGTGTGCAGGAGTGGGTAAAAAGGAACATGTAGGAAGCAAAGAAAATGTTAGCTTTGGAAGTAGAGTCTGAGAGTTATGATTTGAAGTGTAAGCCTGTTTCTTCCAGATACTGATCCATTTTACTAGTTACCTTTTTCATTTAAATATGGTGTGCAGGAATGAGTGTGTTTCATTAGAAGAGTCTGGAGACAATTTAATAACAGCAGTAAATGCTGCTGTGTAATACAAAGCTGATAACTTATTTAAAATTAAATTTACTGATTGCACAGCTTTCAAGTATGTTTCAGATTAACTGGGTTTCTTCAAAATGTCAAATATTAAAACTTGAGTTTAATGTAACAGAGATATTGTTTATATTTTCAACTTGTAAATCAAGTAACTCTAAAACTGTGTGTGTTACAGTGATATGGAAACTTAAACTTTGATTGTCCAAGTTAGACAGAAAAATGAATAGAAATATCACCCATGTCAGCAGTTTGTATTCTCTGCTTTCTTACAGCCGCCTGCTGACGGACTATCAACAGAAGTGTGATGATATCCTTTTTCATTTGAATATTTTGTGATATTGGGAATGTTTCATTTCATGAATGGGGCTTTAGGTATTTCTGAAGTTAAAAATTAAGATTAGAAGCTAATTTGGCCCGAAATATTGAACGTAATGTATAGATTCCGGGAGGGTTGGGACAGGTGTTCAGAATTGGATACTTATTCCCACTGTAACCTGAATGCATTTTTTTTATAGTAAAGCCAGAGGGAAGAATTATTGGATCAGGGTGTGGTCTAGGGGAATTTTACAGTGGTTGTAAAAGATGCATGGCAGTGTTTTCATGTTGTGTTTTTTCAGTTTATTCACTCTATTCATGCACTTACAACCCTTCTGCTGTACTGCTAGACATTGTTTTTACTCCTGCAAAGGATCATTGTGGAAGGAGGCAATAATTTGATTTTGTCATCCAAGCTGCTGATTGGATTCTTGTATAGCTTTTTCTTTCCATTCTTAACACTTATGAAATTATCAGAGGAAACTGTAACTACAATTTCTTCCTTAACAAGACACCACAGCTTCAGTTTGCTGAAAGGTAAGAACAAAATTCAAGTTTAAGGCAGACTGTTTGAATCTCGGCTTAGACTGGGAATTATTCTAGTGAAGGAAGAGGGATGTTTGACACAAATAGTTGTATGGCTGGCAGTGCTGCTGTGCTAAATTCCCTGTGGGGACATATCATAGCAATGGCAGTGTCATGTAGCTTCCTAGTGACCCACAGTCTTTTTTGCTGTGGTCCTACCCCTTGGCATGTGCCCTAAAGCAGGGGGCAGCAACCTTTTTCTGCCTCAGGCTAGAGTTTGTAACCCAGAACCCTGCTGTGGCTTGAAAATCACCATCCCCTGGAGAGCCCAAGCTACTTTGCTTTCCCTGGCTGCAGATAACTGGCCCTTCTGCAGCAAGGATAGCACTAGTAAGGGTGGACTATTCAGGGGATAGGCGGATCAATGCAGTTGTATGCTGGCTGGGTTGTGCCTTCCTGTGGCAGGGCACCTTCGGTGCCTGCCACTTTAAGAGCCAGAGCAGGCAGCGGGTCAGCCAGCAGGTGTGTGCCAGGGGAATAAGGAGGTCACATTACTGCAGGAGGGCCCTGGGATTGGAGGAGGAGGCTGAGCAACCTCCTGTTTTAATCCAGGCCCTCAGGGCTGAGGCAGCAGTCTGCTGCTGGCAGCCGGAAGAACAACACCCAGCTGAGCTTCTGCTCATGGAACATCCTTGGAGGTAAGGGCAGGAGCTATGGGGATGGTAGGAGGCTCCTGGTCCTGGGTATGACTGAGAACTGCATGCTTCTGGGGAAGGATGGCCTGGTGGGAGTGCCTGTGGTAGAGGAGTTCCCCAGAAATGCCAAGCCAGTTGCCTCCCCAGTGAAAGACAGGTAGGGGTGTCTTATAACTCCAGCCCCCACAACTTAGTGGGTAGTAGAGCAGGCAGTGAGGCCAGGCACGTCTTTGGACACCTGAGCCCGTGGAGGTAAAAGGTAGTGGGGCCAGGCATGCCTAGGGAGAGCCTGATTCCCGTGGGGTGCAAGACCCATGGTCCCAGCATGGGGCCTGAGTGTTGGCCCCAATGAGGGGGCATAGCAAGAGAATGGGCCACGTAGAGTAGGGCCTCAGGGGAGGCCTGAAGGGCTGTGCAGTAGTGAGTGTACAGTAGGGTTGCCAGGGGTGACGTGAAGGGCTGCACTAGAGTAGTTTAGGGTGTGAGCCCCAGTGAAGGGGAGTAAATTGTTACCCCAGTGAGAGGGCGAAGGAGTAGCCCCAGCGAGGGGGACAGAGGAGTTGGATCCCATTAATTCCTCAAATGAGGTGAGGCTGAGGTTTGGGTCAGAGAATGACTCCAGTAAGTCCACAAACATTGTGAGGCTGTGTGTGGGTCATAAGTTAAGAACTTTGGCTCAGTATTAGAGCCTGGGGAGCGATAGTGAGTAGCTTAGAGCACAGTGTGGTGGCACAGTGACGGCAAGTTCCGGGGGGGAGTGAGAGTCCTGTGTGAGACTCTGGAGCATGGGTCGTGGTGTGATACACTGTGCAATATGGATGCCATATGTGAGGCATGGGACACAGTGTAGGGGAGGGTTATGTGAGGCATGGGACACAGTTTAGGGAAGGTTGGAGCCGTGTGTAACGCCCTAGGCATTGGGGCATTTAACGGGCAGCCTTCCGCATATTACATCAAGTTTATTTAACAGCAAGTTGTGGCAGGAGAGACGGGGCAGACTGCCCTAGACAGAGGGGTGGGCCGGTATGATGACTGGCTATGAGTAGTCCTCTTTGTCACACTTCCCCAGGTTATATCTAACCTCTTCATGGGCTGGATTAAGCCCATAGGCTACAGGTTTCCCAACTTCTGTCCTAGAGCATGTCAGTCTTTGTCCTTGGGCGTGGGGCATACTTATAGCCTTCTCCATTATCGTGTCCTGGCAGAAACCTTCTTAGTTCTGGTACAGAACTTTTGTGCTATGTAAAAAGTCCCCAGGGGCCTTTAGACAGCATGCAGATCTTACCTGTTGTATGGGTTCAAAATGAGGGTTTGGATGACTCACATTTTTAATCAGTGAAGAAGGCAGAGTTACACTTCTTTGTGTAATCTGTGAGTCAGAATATGCCTCTAGGGATTTGGCACTCCTCTCAGGTCTCTTTTTTTAAATCAATCCCTATGCATAAGTGCACTTGGCTTAAAACGTGTAACAAACATACTTGTTTTTTTACACATTTTAGGCCAAGTTCACTTATGCAGCACACACTTTTAAAGCACACTGTTTAAAGCATCTTGAATCTTGTATGGGAGACTACAAAATAGGTGTTTTTTTTGCCATAGTCAGCAGAAGTACTGCACTAAATTTGGATTTTTTATCTTTTGGTTATCTCTTCATTCTCTTAACTGTGTGTTTCAGAGAGAACAGCACTCTCCGTAACCAAGTAGAACAGATGCTGCAAAAAATCTCACCTCTAGAGAAATGCCAAGAAGAGCTGGGGTCTTTGAAAGCAGAACTGGAAGAGAAAAAGGTAGTCTTGTGAGGAGCATGAGGCTGATTTAAATGCTGCTTGTGAAACGTGCACGTATAGTTTTAATACATGCAATTAGGATAGAGGCCATTTTTTTTGTCAGTGTTTTGTTTTTGTTTTTTAGTCCAAATCCCTTTTCTTCATTTTTAACTAAGCAATATCTTGGGGTGAGCTCAGGCCTTCTTCCAACTACTTGGCAGCTGTGAGTTCCAGATCTTCAAATGTTGTCACCCTGGTTCTACAGATAGCCTATAGATTCTGTCACATTACTTGCAGAATAAAATGTTACTCATTGCAAGTAAGATGGTAGAATCAGGCCCATACTGTTAGAATAGCTTTCTTAGAACAGGATATTTGAGAGTTGTTACATACTTGGGAATATTTAGGATGTTCTCTTATATGTGAGATTTAACTTTACTTAAGTGAAACTATGCTGAATGTCCCAAACGTCAAGGTTAAATGTAGAAGCGCTAGCATGTGTAGTTTTGATAATGTATATGTCCTGCATGGGTTCTACTTGAGCCTGTGTTTTTATTTTTCATACAGCAGTATTGGGCTGGATCATTACTAGTCCAGGTGAAAAACCAAGATACTGCCTAGGTCTGGCAATTCAGTGCTGAGTTGCAGGGGAGTCACTCAATGGTCTTAGCCCTGTGTTCTTCAACTTGCCATGGTAATTCTTAAAAGGGGTGTTTGTATATTCTCACTGGTGAGAATGGCACCCACAGTGCATGACACACACTCACAACCTTCTTTCAAAGCTGTGTCTAGTAGCTTTCCCACATGCATGCCAACATAGTATTGAATGTTAGGCTTTTTTTGTGTTTTAGTATAACTTGCTACCCTAAGTGGGACCCTTGACTTACCATGTGTCAGAAGCCTGTAAGAAATTTTTCAATATGATTTGTGCTTGAAGCTTTTCTAAGTTGGGTGGGAGCTGGTAATATTGTTGCATTGAAATCTCAGTGTTGATGGTTCTGCTTTGGAAAGACATTGCAGGACTCCAAGTGGAATGTTTGTATTGAGAGGTGTTGTTTGTAGCTATGTTGGTCTAAGGACATAGGCAGGCAAGGTTCTCTGGGTAAATCTGCTATCTTTTATTAGACTAACTAAAATAGTTGGAAAAATTATTTGCAACCTTTCAGGTACAAACAAATACCACCAAATTTGCACTGAGGAGAAAGCTTGCGCTCGTCACCTCAACAAATTTCAAAAGGGCTTTTACTCAGCAAGGAAACTTCTCCACAGAGAGAGATCACATGTTTGAAAGAGCCACCCGAATACCATGTGAAGAATTGCTGCAGTACAATAAGAAAATTCCCATGAATTGCACACCATTAGTTATTACATACCATTCCTCCCTGGGACCTATACAGAAAATCCTCAAACAGTTGCAATCCATACTAGAAGAAGACCCAATTCTTAGACAGATCTTCCCAGAGCCACCCATCCAGGCCTTTAAATAAGCATGAACCTCGCCAACCTCATCCCCAGAAGCAAAGTTCCTATGGTCCAAAACACACCAAATGGATATAGACCACAACATGACAAGAAATGTAAAACCTGCCAAAGTCTCCACCACTTCCTCAATAAGTACACCCCACAACAGAACCATCACCATTTCTGTACCTCCAGAAATGTATTGCATCTCATCCAGTGCAGTAAAAGCTCTGATGGAAAATATGTAGAAGAAACCAAACAACAACTGCACACCAGAATGAATGCACACTGAAAAACTATCAAAGACAGAAATACCCAATTACCTCTGGGTGCACACTTTTCACAAGATAACCACTTGCTCTCCAATCTCTCAGTTTAATCCTCAAAGGGAATTTTACAAAACACCGTTCACAGACAAGCCTATGAACTTCACTTCATCAACCTACTGGATACAAAAAATCATGGTCTAAATATAGACATTGGATTTATGGCACATTATAACCTGCCCACTATCTGATACCCCAGGTTACTTCTCTCCAATTTACCAGCCACATTTTTATCACCAGGTCACTGTTTTCCTTTATTCCCCCCAACCTGCTTCTCACCCATTGTCTCTCACCCCCTCTGAACCTCACTGCTTGGCATTTGTATTTTCACTGACCTGCATTCTTGCGCACTGGATTCTATCCCATCTAAGATGAGCGCAGAACAACTGCAGCTGCTCCCTCTGCCTGAAGAAGGGTGCTTGTACCTGAAAGCTTGCAAAGAAGTATTTTTCCAACTATTTTAGTTGGTCTAATAAAAGATATCAGGTTTACCCGAAGAAACTTGTCTGCCTATGTTTGTATTGATTCATTTTCCCATGGTACTCTTAGCTATCAAAGCTTTTCACCTTTTCTAAGTAATTAAAATTTCCTAGTGTTAGACGTTGCTGACTAACCCAATTTCAAAATGTAAATGATTCGCATTATTTCCCTGATTTTCCCTGTGTGCTGGGGAAAACATTAGTGGTTTTACTAGATAGACGTTCCAGATCCTTTTCATTTCAGCTCTTGCCTTCTTGGCACGTTGAACTTTCGGGTGACTTTGCCTCGAGGAAGGCATGATATGGCTAAAGTTGTGAAGCTTTGCTTCTCAGCAATTTTAATGGTACTATTTGCTACTTTATTTTTAATTTATTTTCCTCACCATTTCTGTAGAAACATCTATAAAACTTTTACTCTCCAAGTGTGGGGAGTTTACTAGATTTATTAACTACTACCTTTGAAGAAAATGAAGCTACTTCTCATTCTTAGTTTCGGTCAGCACTGAAGCAAATTATCTTTTATATCGTTCTTTAGTCAGTACTTCAGGGATCTAGTACTTTATTGATTAACATTAGTTCCTTTTCTGGTAAAAAAAAAAAAAAAAAATAACAGAAGGTCCTAAGGGTTGTACCATCTAAAACAGTTTTACTCTGTATGTTAGTTTTGTATTTCACTCTAATTAAGTACTGAAAGCACAGACCCAAAGGAAATATATCTGTTACGTTTTGTACCTGTAGAGAACATGAATGACATACAAGATGGTTTCTTTTCTAGTTTATTTGTTCTGTTTTTCCTAGTGTTAGAAGTTATTTTTTTATACGCAATTTTTTTCCGACCAGTTGTTTCCATGAGGATATATTCTCAATTGTCATTTTCTTTATTTACAGAGTTCTCTTAAGATTTACCAGGAGAGTCATCTGGAATATATTCGGGTGAAAGAAGAAGTCACCAAAAGTGATGCTGCGTAAGCAAATCTTTTTGTGTCCGCTTACTCTTGTATATCATGCTTATGGCAATAAGTAAACTACCTGTAAATTGTCTTGTATTTGCTGTATGCTTATATGAACAGAGATGCTTGTAAATTGTGTGTACACATGTCATAGCTGGGGCTGGAAACAATGCTGATATTTAAGCAAGCACTTTCCTATTTTCAGTTGCTGATGAAAACTTCTGAAAATTTCAGCATAGGTGGTTAAATTTTGATAAAGTCATCTGGAAAAATGGCAGACTGACTTTGACAGTTTCAGTGAAGACAGCCAGCTGTTTGAGTACAAGGCTGCCCCTCTTTTATAAGAAAGTAAAATGAGCTTTGCTGATAAACTAGTACGTTTATGATTGGGAGCAAGGACTTGCATTTTGGCAAGGAGTTTCATCCTGGGGTCAGAGATCTCTTTGCCAACTGTATAAAAATCTACATAGATTAAATTGAGTCACAAGTCTCTGGAACTAGTTGTACACAGTAGATGATGGTTAGAGGCTGGCAGCAATGGTCTTTAAAAGTGGAATCTTGTTTGGGCATGTTGTAGCAACTGAGCAGGCTTTTCCTGCTATTTGTTTCTGCAGATGGCTAGCATTGAGCCTAACATGGAGCACAGCAGCTGTAGCAGAGAATATAGAACCTAGGCGCAAGTCCTGTGATCATAGAATCACAAAAAATTAAGGTTGGAAGAGACTTCGGGAGGTCATTTAGTTCGCCCCCTTCTCAAAGCAGGACCACCCCCAATTGTATTATTCTATATTATCCCAGCCAAGAGTGTCTAGCCAGGTTTTAAAAACCTCCAAGGATGGAGATTCTACAACTTTTCTAGGTAAGTTGTTCCAGTGCTTTACTATGCTCCTAATGAGAATTTTTCCTAGCATCTAACAAATTTCCCTTGATGCAGCTTCAGAGCATTGCTCCATGTTTTGTTGTCTGCCACCACTGAGAACAGTCTAGCTCCATCCTCTTCCCTTCAGGTAGTTGATGGGTGCTATCCAGTCCCACATCAGTCTTCTCTTCTCCAGACCAGATAAGCCCAGTTCCATGAGTTTTTCCTTATGAGTCATGTTTACCAACCCTCTAACTATTTTTGTTGCCCTCCACTGGACTTTCTCCAATTTGTCCACATCCTTTCTGTAGTGGGGGCCCCATAACTGGACGCAGTACTCTAGATGAGGCCTCACCAGTGCTGAAGAGAGAGGACTGATCACTTCCCCCAATCTGCCAGCAACGATTCTATTAATGCAGCCCAGTATGCCGTTAGCCTTCTTTGCAGCAAGAGCACACTGTTGGCTTATATTCAGCTTATTGTCCCCTGTAACCCCCAGGTCCTTTTCTGCAGAGCTGTTGCCTAGCTAGTTGGTCCTTAGCCTGTACTTATACATGGGATTGTTACACCCTAAGTGCAGGACTTTGTATTTGTCTTTACTGAACCTCATAAGATTTTTTTTTTTGATCCAATCCTCCAATTTGTCAAGGTCTCTTTGAATCCTAGCCCTATTGTCCAGCATATCTACTACCTCCTCACTCCCTTCCCCCAGCTTGGTGTCATCTGCAGACAGGCTGAGTGTGCACTCCATCCCATCTTTAGGTCATTGATGAAGATGTGGTCACTAGATCATTACATAAAAGGAACAGCACTTTCTTCCTTTCCAACCCTGTTTTCATAGAATCATAGGGCTGGAAGTTTCATAGAAGTTAGGGCTGGAAGAGACTTCAGGAGGTTATATAGTCCAACCCCCTGCCAGAGACAGGATCATCCGAACAATAATGAGTAAATGCTTCTAACCTATTATTATGACTACACAGGTAACCCTGTCACACAACCACAAAGCATAGATAGCATCCTATGGCAGCAAGTAAAAGCAGACGGTCAACAGTGACCAATTTCCTGCTGCTGCAAGGGTTATTAAAATATGCTTGAGAGACCCATGGAAACTGGCAACTCCTCTCCGCCCCACCGCACTGTCAAAGAAGACAAAAACCTCTGCAGTCTGTACCAGTCTGATTGCGGGTAAAATTCCTTCCTGACCCCAGATATGATGATTAGTCTGTCCTTGAGTGGAAGGGCAAGACTCTGTAACCAGGTACCTTCAAGTTTAAGTCCCAGCAGAAGCATTGGTACACCCCAGTCAAAATCCCCAGCCTTGTTGCTGCCAATGTCCAGTGCTTCTGAGAGAGGTGAAAAAGCCCCCCTGACACTTGTAGCAACAGGAGAGGAAAACATTCCTTGTCTGCCTCATGTGGCAACCAGCAAAGCGCAGAAGCCTGGGAAATACCCTGAGCATAGCATAGATATAGAGACTCCTAGGTCATCCCTGACCAGTGCTTATCCAGCCTCTTCTTGAACACCACCAACAATGATGGAGATTCCACAGCTTCTCCAGACAGTCTATGCCTTTGTCTTGCGTTCTTCTAACGGTGAAGATTTTTTTTCCAGACATCCAATCTAAACCTACTTTGCTGCAACTTCAAGCCATGGGTCTGTGTCCTGCTCTCTGCAGCAAGAGAGAAAAGGTGTTCGCCCTCATCTTTATGGCAGCTCTTCAGCCTTTTCAAATGTGTTGTAAATTTAACTCCAGGAGATGGGCATCCCAGAAGCCAAAACTTTGGGTCACTTACTCAGGTTCTAGGTTTTGGAGTGCTGAGAGTACTTCCGATGCTGAGAAATGTTGGATTTACTTAATACCATAGCTAGTTGTCTGTGCAGTGTTCCTAGGGATGAATGTGTAATAAAAATGTAAGTTGTAATACTCTTTTATACTCCTTTTGTATGAACAGGAAGAAGAAACTGGAAGCCAAAGTGAAGAAACTTGAAGGTAATTATAAGTCAGCATAAAAGTGATAATGGCCATACCTTGCTTAGTCTTTCAGTTTATTTGTAATTATCTAATTAAGTAATTGTGTTAAGTGGAAATTAAGGAGTTCAGATCACATGTAAGCAAGGATAGAATTATGGGACCCTTGAAGAGGTTAAGAACTTAGTTTGTACCAGAATTATGGGCAAAATGATTTGGAAGAATGAGGACTCTGACTGGGGAACAGATTTAGAGATTTTTTTCAGGAGTGCTTTTAAAGGTGCTATGTTTTTGAACAATAGGCGGGATATATTGTTGGTATTGAAGACTTGAAGAAGAGGAGGAGATGTTGTCCAGCAGATCTGTGGGGAGCCCTGTGGGCCAGATTATTTGGTGCCAGAGGCCAGATCTCACCCATGGGCTGGGGAGTTTAGCACCTGGTCAGTGAAAGGAAAAAAGAAATTTTAGGACTGTTAGGCAGAAAATGCCAACAGAATTTGCTTAGGGTCTGAGTGAGGAGAGATGTAAAGAGGAAGGAGTTGGAGATGGAGTCCCATGTGTAGGCCTGGTAGCCCTGGAAGATATTGATGTTACTTGTGATGGTGAATGAAAGTATGAGAGAATTTGGAAGGAAAGGTTATGGGCCGGCTATTGGTCACCGAGTTTAAGATAACAGGTGTCTAAAGCCAGGGTGTCTGAAAATTGATAAATTTGAGAATGAGCCATAGTATTCTACTCCAAAGTAGTTGAATCATGTCCTGGGAGTCTCTGGGGACTTCTGTAAAGTCCCCAAAGCGTGGAAAAAGCCCTCTCCTTTCCCCTCTCTGCTCAGAGGCACATTTCCTCCCTTTTGCTTCCCCCCACTTCCCCACCTGCTGCTACTGCTTTCCCTGCTGTCTGAGGGACCAAGAATGTTTTCTGTTCCAGCTCCACAATGTGGGGATGGGCTCAGCTGGGAACACTGACAGTAGCTGAGGTGATGGGCAGGGGGTTCTTCCTTCCTGTGCCTGCTCCTGTGGCTGGGGGGGACTGGGCAGGGTGGGAGAATGCTCTCTCCACTGCTACTGCTGTCATTGTGCCAGGTGAGCCCAGCCCCCTTGTAGCGTGGCTGGATCAAACACGGGTGGCTTTGAAGATTTCCCCCACCCCAGGACAGTGGGGAAAACAGTAGCAGTAGGTGAGGAGGAAGAAGAGGGAAGGGGATGTGCCTCTAGATACAAAGGAGAAGGAGTTTGTTACTGCTTTTGGGACTTACTGTATTTTTGAGCATATAGCCCGCCCACGGGTATAAGCCACACCCATGTATAACCCGTGGAAAATTGTATGTTTGTAAATTAGTCCATGTGTACACCGCACCTGTGTCTTCCCCTTGGCAGCATATACACAGGGAGGTGGTGCACTCCGGCTGGCCCCGGCCCCCGCAGCAGCGGTGGCACATCCCGGCCTGCCCAGGCCCAGCGGGGAGGCGGCGCAGCCCTCCCCAGCCCCTGCAACATCAGTGGCGCAGCCCGCCCCGGCCCCGGCCCCCGCGGCAGCGGCGCAGCCTGGCAGTGGCAGCGCAGCCCAGCCTGCCTGGGCCCAGCGGGGAAAAAAAGTTGGTTGATAGCCCACATCCCCATATAACCCACATCTGTCCACATTTTTTTGTAAAATTGCATATACCCCGCGGGATATATGCGTGAAAATACAGTAATTAAAAAAAAAAAAAAAAAGACCTCAGAGGCTTCAAGCGTGGTCTGCTCACGCCCTCATAGCATGGGTAGTTGCCCTTGCACCCCTCTTTTTGCTAAATTGTTGATCCACCTCTGTATGTTTTACTGTGTCAGTGTCAAAACAATACAGTAAAATCCCCGATATCTGACACGAGTGGGGAATGGGAGGTGCTGGTAATGTAAAAATGCTGGTTACCTGAGGGCACAGGGTTTCCAGCCGTATGCAGAGTGGGGGTGGAGGGGGTTGTGGCGGCCACATGGTGGGTGGGGGGTGGCATTGGCTGCACATGGAGTGGTGGCAGCTGCGGTGGCCATGTGTGAGCTTTCCTCCGCACCCCTCCTGCATCCGGCCTGAAAACTGGTTACTAGAGTGTGCCGGTTAGTAAAATCCTGGATAACAGGGATTTTCCTGTATAACCAAATCTGCATCAGCCTTACTGGGGGTAGTTTCCTAACTAATGAATTAAGATTGATTCATGTTGTGATGCTTTCATATTCTCTTGTTCATACAGTACAGTAATAGGAAATGGTAAATTAGAACCCTAATCCAAGTAAAATACTTCAGAAGGTATTCCACTGACTAGTGATGAATCCTGCATAAACTTCCAAAGTTTAACAGATCATTTAATATAGGGCAGTTCCATAGATTTGTGTCCTATATTTGCAATTGCTGGAGTTAGATATTTTTGTACTTTGACGTGCAAATTACTAATCTCATGTACTTGCTTTTCTCTTGAATGAAGAGGCTGCAACAAAGCATATACAAGACTTCAAACAGCTGAAAAGTGAAAAGAAAATGCTTGAAAAGGAACTAAAGAAAGCACAGGTAATATTTAGCGACTTGAGGGAAAAACATTTTGTAATATTTTAAAAGAAGTAGATGAAATAATTGTGGACTTCATGAATATTTCAACTTTTACAAATGGGCTAGCATAATGTATTGCTTTGAAATATCAGCTCGTCAGATCCAGCGTGTTAGTAGCTCAGTTTATCAGATTCTACACAGCATTTATAAAATTTAGCCTATTTTAGATGTTGACCACTGTGCTTCAGCGTGAACGTTGTAAAATATATTTGCACTATGAAGTAACTTAACAGTGTTAATTGATTATATTAACAGGAAAAACTTGATGACTGTCCCAAACAGAAGTGCAAAAAGGGTGAGTAGCCAGTTGTTGTTTGCTTTCAGATTTGTAGTTGTGTTTCAAACTGTATGTTATCGTGCATCTTTCTCTTTCTTTTCAGTGTTGAAGCACGCAGAGACCCAGAGTTCAAGAGATGATCTGGTAGCAAGCATTGATAAAGGTATGTTTGAACTTGCCTGTGGAGGGAACTAGTAGTTAGAAATTCTATTGAATATCTGCAGGAATATGTTTTGCACTTTTAATGGTAGAGATGATTGATAATGGAATTGTAATGATTGCTACAAAAGTAAACTTAAGTTGGTTTTAAGAATGAAAAACAGTATATTTAGGAAGGAGTACAAGCCAGTCATGTTAATATACAGTTAATTGTTTCTGTTAAGAGTATAGAAAGATACAACATTTAAATCCATATCTAAGTATAGCGATATAAGCTGTTAGGATGGTACTGTTATGTCCACATGATTCTGCAGTGATGCATGTGTAGCAAATATGGTGCAACTTGCCATTCAGGGTGAAAGTGTGGGCAGTTTAGGTAACCTGCAGTTGCTTTAGGACCGTGTAGACCCTACCAGTTAGATCTTAAAAGCTATTGTGCTCTCCTGAGTGGGAGCTCTCCCCTCTGCTTTCAAGAGGTTAAAATGTATGTTTATCTGTAACCTATAAAATCTCTAAGGATGTTTTAAGATGCAGTCATGTTTAAAAGTTTGTTCATTTTTCTGCAATCCCAGTTTGCAGTTACCAAATGCTCAGAATAAAAATGTTCCTGAAAAATAAAAGCTTTCCCATCATTTTGTACTTTATCCAAAGCCCAGGGTTGAAATCTTGATGAGAAATGTTAAACTAATGTTACGAGATATGAATTAAAGCTGTATCATAAAAAACTTTGGCTATTTTTGCCCAACCACCAAGTTTGCTTGCTTCCCTGAGGGATGGCAAACTCAGAAAGGTTGGTTGAAAAGAAGGGAAATGGAAAGGATTACTGTTGTCATACTGGATTATTTCTGTTGAACGCTGCAAAAAGCCAGAACGTCTGCTTGAATATTCAAGACTTGTCGGCTGTTCCTGAAGAATCCCCGAATGGGAAATAGCTAAGCAAGTAAAACAAGTACCTTGCTGTGACAGTGTGCCTGTAACCTCCTTCCAGCATACACCTTCATTTTAATAACAGAGGGTGGACCCCTTATTGTCAGTGGGGGGGGTGCCTAATTTGCTGCACTTCAGCTGACAGTTACCATATTCCTTCAAACATAAAATGCCCTTGGATTAAATTTTCAATTGAAGAAAGTAAAGCATCCAATAAAATCATATTTACAAGGATAGAACTTTTATGGTGCATGTTTTTGGAGCAATCTTTCATTTTAAAGTATGCCTTAAATTTGAAGGGATACAGCATCCCTTTTTGTTAGAGCAGATGTGAAAAACTTTGAATGCATTCTGCAGGGGAGAAAACCTGTATTTTTTTTTCTAACCAGCTCTCCTGGCTTGTAGCATTTTTTGCATAAATTAGCTTCAAAAATGTTTTTCTCCTTCAAGGGAAAGTTGACATCAGTCATCATTTGCTTGTTTATTAAAACATACTCCATTTGCACCCCCAAGCATCCTTTCATTTTAATTCAGAAGAGTAGAAAGATGTAATGAACTGTGGCATAAAAATACTTTTGATATGAGGAGCTGCTGAATGTGTGAAGAAAAGATCATAGGCTCCTTCTTATTCTTTACATTATAGAAGAGCTAGGGGATAATCAGTGAAATTGAAAGGAAGCAGATTAAATGAAATACTTCATGTGACATACACCTGTGTTAAAGAGCTCATTGCCAGGAGAAGTAATTGAGATTTAAGAATTTAATAGGATTCCAAAAAGGCACTGGATGTTTAGATGTGTAAGAAATTACCCAGGTTTTTCATTAATAATGATCAGAAGGAAGTTGGTAAAAAAATAAATAAAAATTACAAAGCATTGTGTTTTAAGCCATAAACCAACCTCTGAGGGATTTAAGAAAAGTACCTGATTAGCAATTTATTTTATAATATTGCATTTAAGAGATTATTACATGTTCCTTTAAGCAGCTGTTATTCCAGACCATACCAGAGTAGGTAGACCACTAGGTTGACCTTATGCAGCATGCACATGTTCCTAGACTTGTTGTCAAAGAGTTCAGAGAATGTACTCGGATCCCAGAAGCCAGTACTAGAGTTATTAATCTACTGCAGCTTGTGTTAGTCCATCCCTGTTTCTATAACCTTGCTACCTGTGTTGGAATTGCAATTCTCTTTCTTTATAGATATACATGGTCCAATAGTGAACTGTTCAGTTTTCTGGTTTTCAAACTGTTGCTTTCGCTTTTTTTGCATCAGTGGTTTTATTTATCCTTCTATTTCAGTGGTGCTCACATTTTTGTCCCCGTGTCAAAATAAGGGGTGGGCAAAATACGGCCCACAGGCTGGGTCCGGCCCTCCGGGCCACTCTATCTGGCCCGCAGGGCCCCTAAAAATGTAGAAAATTAATATTTATCTGCTCCTGGCTGCCTGTCAAAGATGACAGGAACCAGGGGCAGTAGGACCCAGGGGGAGCCGGCAGGAGTCGGCAAAAAGGCTGGCTGGGCCCTGCCTCATATTATGCTATTGTACACAGAGGTGATTGCATACTACACAAACACATGTAAATCAGGACAGAAATACTTTTTAAAATCAAGTTAATAAATGTTGTAGATGTTTGATGTTTAAAATATAATCTGGTATTTTTGTGGTTCTGAGATGGCAAAACCCCTTGCTGAAAGAAGTACTCCCAGGGGCAAGGGGGAGGGACTTCTGGTGTTAAAGGGTCAGGTTAGGTGGCGGGACTTCTGGTCCCAAGCTGGCAACCAGGGGGGCAGGGCTACCCATCTGACCCTCGACAGCTTGCCAAAACTCTGCCCAAAATAATTGCCTGCCCCCGTGTCAGAAGAATGCCATGAAACCAGATCTGGTCCTGCATGTCAGGATCAGACAGATTTTGAAGCTAATCCATGGTGCTTCCACCCAGCCAGAGATGGCATCACCGTGCACGCTTGATCGGGCACATGCTGCCACAGCTAGCAGGGCTCTTCATGGCATCTCTGGAGAGCCCCACAGGCTGTATTACATGGTGCTGGGGACTGGATCTGGCCTGGAAGCCATGGGTTGAGCACCCCATTCTAGTTGATGGTAGATTCTGCTATTCTTCATTTTACTGTTGCCAGATGTATATACTGGATTAAAACAAGAATGATATTGATAACTCACTAAGATAAAGCTATTAAACATAACTTTCCTTCCCTTTTAATAGAAAAAATAAAACAGTTGCTGGAAGAGCTCTGGGTGTGTATTGACAGTGCAGCAGGAAAAAGGCAGAACCAAGACAATGATTATATCTTGGGTGAGTTGGAACCCAAAGTCTTTGAAGTGTTTTTCTTTTTTACTGATTTGAGAGCAATTATTATTCTTTTTTTTTCTAGCAGCGTCTGTTCAGGGTCACTCAAGAACTCCAGAAAAAATAAGCAAGTTCTTCAGACAAGGTATATTGCAATAGATTTCATTGTATTTACTATCAATATATTAATTGTTGCTAAGTGGAATTTTAATACCTCAGAAATATTACAGATAAGATAGTATCATTCTCACACTGGTATCTTTTTGTTTTGAAGTTTTTTTTTACTCATATCTAGTACAGCAAAAGCTGTGTTATCCAGCACTTTATCAAGCGCAAAGCTCCGCTAACCGGCATCCAAGGGATGCAGGAAAAGTGAAACTGGACGTCCCACTTCCAGTTACACTGCCGCAAGCTGAGTTCTTCTCCTTCACTTCTTAGGCCCACGGCTTGGAGCAAAGCAGCCTGCGTGGGGCCCCCCTCCCTGTCCCCCAATGACACCAGGGAGTGAACCAGATAGTGCACATTTGATTAATGGGCATCGGATAACAGAGCTTTTGCTGTACCTAGGTGTTAACATTGTTGGGGAAAAAAATCATTGCACAGTTGTACTGATGTACATTTGCCTGTTAACATGTTAAAATTATGTATTGGACTAATTTTTGCAGAGAATACAAGTGCTTGGGGTTTAAAAATCAGGACCTTTGAAAGTTTAACTTCTTCTGCCTTATGTACATATACATTTAAAACAAATTCTGCATAGATATATTATGACAGGGCTATCCACCTTCTAAACAGCTGGGAGTTGTGTGTTCTGCACCAGGGGACCACATTAATGTGAGCCATGAGGTTCTGGGTTGTCCCCCCAGCCCCATCCTGCACGTCACATGTGGGTGAACTGCACCTCAGCTTCTTCACTGAACCATGTGGTCTCCTTTGGTGCCATGGGCTATGCTACTATACCACCTAGGCAGGAGCAGGAAGCAGAATCTGAGGAAGGAGCCTAGAGACCCTGGCTGCTGGAACAGCTTGGGGGGACACAGGGAGTGGCGGCTGGGTAGGATCAGGGATGCCACACAGTAAGCACTTGCGGGCTGCCCATTGGACAGCCCTGTAGTGAACCATAACACCTACTGGAATTTCTTACGCAGGCTCTCACATAATAGTTTATCATTAACTCAATGTAATGTTGCTAGAAAAAAGGCACTGGTCATGCTTTTAAAGCTGACTATTATATAGGTACAGTCATATCAATATGAAAATAATATGGAAGGTTAATTTTCATTTCTAAGGTAGGAGATGTATAAAGCATGACCTAAAACCTAGGTCACTAAAATTGCAAAATACCTAAGTATGGATCTGAGCTGCTCTAGCTGTTTGCTCGGGTTTTTATTTCAAAGGGTGTTGTCCCTCCAAACAAGTATGTGAGACCTGATGAGCTCCATTTCAATGAAGAAGAGGTACCCTTTAAAATGAATGCCCCATCAATCAGATGAATGGATCATCCTTAATTCAGCAACTCATTACAAATGAAGTGGGTTGTGAATCACCCAGACACAGATAACTATCTGGCTTCTACTTACAGGATTTTGTGGATGTGAGCTGTATCCTCGTGTTTAGTGGGCGAGTAGGCAGACATTTGAGACCTTTGAAAAGGCAGGGGTGAAGTCTGACATGAAATGTCCCATAAATCCACAATTATTTATGACCTAAGAGCCTGAGCCAGATTTTTTTTTTTTGCTGCTCTCCCGGAGATTGCATGCAGTAATATCATGGTCTGAAATTGGTTTAGCGGGAGGTTTGACTTTGTTGTCTTGGAATGTAAAAGAGTTCCTATGAACTCTGTTGACTAAGTTGGCATGAGAAATGTCTTGTAATTCACTCAGTCCTAAGAAGTGATGTAAGTTGAGGTTTTGGGTATGCCCTTTGAAAATCCTGTGGGGATTTCCCTTTGAGAATTGCAGTCATGCAAATACAAGGTGCTAGATACCTTGCTGTAGCAGATGGGAAACCTCTGCTACTAGGGAGTTACAAATGCTGTGTGGGTAGTGATCATTTTTTTACTGTAAGCAGAGAGAGTTTCTGTGGGATGGATGAATCATTTTGTGACAATAAACCATCTCAAGTGAAAACTGCAAACCATCCTTAATCTGCTGAAGAGAGAATTATGGAGGCTGGTTTCACCGTTCCAAATCTGAGTCAGCATGTGAATGTATGTGTTTACTGTGAGTCCAGGATAGCACAAGGTCCCCTTCCCTGTGGTGGATAAGGAAATGGCATTGATCCTCTCCCCCTCCTTATTTTAAAACTTAAGTGGTTCCTTAGTGGGTCAAATAAATCTTCTTCAGTTTGGTCCTTTCTTGTGAGATGCTGTCTCAAATTGGGACAGGAAAAAGGTGATTGAGGAATATTGACCAGAATTGCAGAATATTGGCAGAACCTTCAGTGGTACAATCCTGCTAACCTGCAGTAATCCCAGCCCATGTCTAGGAAATGAAAGGCTACAGGGAAAAATCAGGCACAGCAGGAAACTGATAGTTTATTCATAGGTTTAGACTTGAATGTCATATTTGTTGTTTGGAAGATGGTATTGGATGGGTGACAACAGAAGAGGGTGGGATGCCCTTGTAGGAGAAGTAAGATTTCTCTTAAAAATTTAGACAAGCCTCCCATGGGAGGAAGTTCTGGGTGAATTGGTCCCAGAACCTAACAGGTTACCCTTGACAACAGGTACATAGACACTTGCATCTCAGCTCTGATGTTCTTTAGTCATGGTCTACAACCATGACTCTGTGCAGGAGTTAAACAGGCCTGGTCCTTCAGAGAGGAGATCTTGGACTTGTGGTGATTTTAAGATGATAGATGCTCCCATCACCATGATGGCTGGGCCTGTGGAAAGGGTTGCAGTCACAAAGACATTAAGGCCTGCTTGCGAGGCAGTTTTGAGTCTGCAGACAAGCATAACTGATGGGAAGGTATGGGGAGACTCGCATACAAACATGTGCATACAGTTTTCTCTTTTCTTCTTTCTCTCCCTTTCCTCTGTTTCCTCTCCTTTCTTTCTTTCTGCTAGTCAAAAAAAATTATGACACCATGTGCAAGAGCTAAATAGGTGCCCCAAATAGGAACCTCTTATCAGTGTCTCTCAGGACCACTGATACTATAAGACAAATAACTGTCTTTTTCAATTCTCCTAATAAATCTCCAGAATAGGAATACAGTTATTTGAGAATATGAAAGCTTATATTTTATTCATGCACTATGAACAGTATTTTGGAGTTTGTCGTATTTTGGTGTGTTTTCTATAGGTAATCTGTGAAAATACCATTTAGGAAAAAAACAGTAATAATTTTGTCTTGCAAAATATTAACTGGATAAAGCAAAATGAAAAGTTTAGAGATCTGTCAAACCCTTTAAAATTTTGTTTTATAGAAGTTGCACAAACTCGCCGAAAACCCAGGAAATCTGAGAAAATGATACCTCACCAGTCCTCACTAGAAACTGTTATAGAACAAAACTCTTTAGCTGCCACGCAAATAAAAATGGACGAGTCTCTCATTGATCACTTTGAGAGCAAGACCACTGACGAAAGTCTGCAAAGCTGTAATGGTGACAGTGCTTTTTATGAGGACAAAACAATAGGAGTAGTTATACAAACAGACTGTGAAGACAGGAGTTCAGACTTCTCAGATGAGGAAGAACATCTTGCTGGAAATGTGAAAGACATACTGAACTGGATCAGACCTCTTCCTCCACTACTCTCTCCAATGCAGCTTTCACCAGCAGTGACACCGGTCAGTTCCAGAACCTTTTTCTGAAATGGCAACATTTTTGTCTTGTCCTATACAGCAAAAATAAAGGTTTCATAAGCTTATCTAACATATTATTATTTCTGTTTATGCATTTTAAAGTGACTTTATCACAGTGTTTAAATTAAAATTTAATTGATCATTTTTTTTCTGTAAGTTCTTTTAAAGTATGTCATTGTGAAAGGGGAGACCATTTTCTATTATATATTATAAGCATGTCAAATGACTGACTATGGGCAAATAATTGCTGTCACTGCTATTTTAATGCACAGAGATGTGTGCACAAGTGCTAATTTTAATCACTTAACTTTATGGAATGAGATTTAAGAGTTTTGCCTCCGGCTACTTTGTAAGTCTTTCTGCTTTACTATTGTCAAGAAGTAGTCCTTTCTCCCCTCCCTTTGCTTGTTGCTCTTTTAAAACTTTCTCAGTTTTCAATAATTGATATTTTCTGCCATCTTAGAGTATAGATGGGCACAGAAGTTGAACTGTTTTTTTCCATATAGGTACTCTTACTAGCCTATTACTAAAGAACATTGATAGAGAATTGTTTTTTTACTAACCGGTAACTGTTTAAATGGCTATATGGTAGGGGTGTGTGAAACGGGCCATTTTCGATTCGGATTCAGATCCGGCCTAAATTGGGGAGAGTGATTCGATACCGATTCTCTGAATCAGCAGATTTGGCTATAGACACAGCTTTAAATGTTTTTTCTACATACCTCAAGGTACCAGGTCTGGCTCGTGAATGCTGCGATGCTGGGGCAGATGGAGCGTGCCACAGGAGCATGTGGGGCGCCCTCTGTGTGTGCTCGGCAGCTAACCCTGAAATGGACCAGAAGTACTTCCTGTCCATTTCTGGGTCTGCGGCTGAGCGTGTGGGGGATGCCCCCCCGGCTCAGCAGTCGGCCATGGGGGGACCCCGGGTGCCCCCCACCCCCCAGACCAGGAGGCACCAGTCGCTGGGAGGGGGAGGGGTTCCCCATGCATTCCCCAGCAGGCCCGGAAGTGGACTGGAAGTGCTTCTGGAAGCGATTTGGAGGATTTCTGATTCCATTCGGAGAGACTTAAAGGGTCTCCTGATTCGATTCATATTTGGAAACTCGGCCGCCGAATTGATCTGAATCTCTGCTGAATCAAATTAGTGACCGAAGCTTCGCACAGCCTTACTATATGGCATAAATTCACAGTGCTGCCAGTAAATACATTCACTTTAAAGAAATATCTAATAGTCATGGAATATAAGCTTTGAAAAACTGCTGTTTAAATTATTCATTCTCTTTTTTTTTCTTTTTTTCATTAAAGGATACATTATTTGGAGATTTCACTGATTCCAGCGATGAGGAAATTGACTATTGTGCTCAAACAGTGGAAGATATTTTGGAAAAAAGCTCAGAAGAGTATCATGTCAGTTTGAAGGAGGAAAGCAACATACAAGAGAAATATGAACCAGATCATGATACAGAAACTTCAAGTAAATTGAGAGTGAATGAAGAAACATCAATTTATAGTGATCTTTTCACGGCAGAGAACTTGCTTATAACTGGGAGAGATGCTGAAGTGAAGCAAACCCAGATGGTTATTTCAAGTATAGACACAATGGTAAATGAAGAACTTTTAGAAGAGAAGGTTGAAAGTATGGAAGCTGAACAGATTTTAGCAGAGCAGACTGAAAATATGGAAATTGAGACTGGTACAACAGTGCAGCTGGCGATGCCTACATCAGAAGTTATCGAAGAGAAGATGATCGATGATGAGGGGGTGCAAACTGAAGACAAAGCCTCTTCAACTGAGCGCGTGTCATTTAATTTTGAACACTTACAAGAAAATTCTAATGAGGCAGTACAAACAGAGAAAGATGTCGTTTCAAATACGAATACAGTAGCCAGTTCTGAGCATTTGCAAGAAAAGTCTAGTAAATTAATGGAAGTAGGGGAAGATGAATTACCTAGAAAAGTAGATACCCCCGAACTGTCACCCATTCCAAAGGACCGTGTTCCCTCATCACCTCAGAAATCCATTTTTGCAGTTGAGAATGAATGTTTTGAGGAAGAGCCTAATGAGATGGAGAGTGAAATGGTTGAAAATGAATCCAAAGGCATAAAAAGAAAACCTAATGTAGTAAATGTAGTACTTGGCCTAGAAGACTATGTTGAACAAATAACAACCGGGAAGAAAGTAATAGCAGAAGAGCTCCATGTAGAGACTGAAGATAAAACACAGCATCCTGAAGAGGAAGATTTGGCATCTAACTTCAGTAATCCTAAAAGTTTTTTGGGAGTGGAGAGTGATGAGGTGTGGCAGTGTAATGGGGAAGAAACATTTATGAAGACTGATATAGACACTGAAATTAAAGATACTGCCATTGAATCTCAGTGCTCAGAAGAAAAACTCAGCAATGGAGAGAGACTGGAGGAACTACTTGTACAGTCTGAAGAACCTGAAGTAAATGAAGACCGTGGACTGGAAAAAGCTAGTGCTTTTATTTTTGCCACTGAAGTAAACAGAAATTCACTGTCTTTGGATGAGGCTAATGCCATTGCAGATGTAGGTGGAACTGCTGCTTCTCTTCCTACAAAAGAGGGAGAGGGTGAACAGCTCAGAACTGGAGAGCTGAGCACTGAGGGGAATATAACTGAAGTAAGCAAAAATTCACTGTCTTTGGATGAGGCAAATGCCATTGCAGGTGGATCTGCTTCCTCTCTTTCTACAAAAGCAGGAGAGGGTGAACAACTCAAAACTGGATTGCTGAGCACTGAGGTGAATATAACGAACTCTGAGGAAAAAGGTTTCTCTGGCAATTCAACGAATGGGAAAAATGTTTTAGAAATAGCTACGTTTTCTGAATCTTGCCATGTTGAATGTGGAGAATTGCTGGAGGTACAAGAGGAGGGATGTTTGCAAGCTAAATTAGAACACAACCAAAAAGATGCTGGTATATTGCTGCAAAAGGAGTCAGATTTTGAAATTTTACCTGTATCACCAAACCCAGACTGCATTTTAAATGGAGAAAATGAGGCACTGGAACCCAAGGAGATGGATCCAGATAAACATGTCGTAGGACAAACTAGTGAAACCAAGCACATTGAAAATATGTTTGGTGTATTGGAGCACAAGTTGTCTGAAACAATAAAAGTATTTGAACGTCAGGAAATTAAAATGGAACATTTAGAATTTAAATTGGGATATGTTAGAGAGAAAAGTAGTCAGCTATTAGAGACTGAGAAAATAGGTATGACAAACTGTGTTGTAACAGAAAGTGAACATACCTCTCAGGCACAGCCTTTAAAAGCTGTACATTCATTTTCAGTTGCTGAAAATTTTCAGTGCAGTAGTATAAGTGAGAAATTAAATGACAAATCACCTGAGGAAATGGTGATCGAGAACTGCAACAACAATTCGACTGATCTGGAAGGGAGACGTGGGGAGAAAATGAATGAAAGAGGTGAGATTTCAGATGCCCCAGAACAGGTTGCCTCAGAAGAGAATGCTGAAAAAGAACTAGCTTTGTCTAAAGAAGATATTTTGTTGGGAAGAAATGTAGTTACTGAAGAGACAAACTCTTTTAGCACAGTGAAAATTGGTTCAGAGGCTACAGCAGCGCCTGCTGGTTTTACTCTCAGTCTTCAACAGAATTACCAAGATTTTAACACTAACAGCACAGACGATTCTGTCAAAGACTGTATCACACCAGATGCTGCTTTCACTGTAGCTCGAAATAATGAAATAGATTATGATAGCAGTATCCGGTTTGCATATAATCATTCTTTGTCAGATGCGAATGGCAAGGAGGCTGTACCTAATGACAAAGAAAATGAATGCAAACAACTTGTGTGCCCCATTAATGAATATGAGAATAAAAATAATATACAGACTATTAAAGAGCAGCTTGAGGAACCTCAAAAACCATTAGTAACTTTAGAGGTTTTGGGTGCAAGTTCTACTGATAGTGGTAACCATGCCAAAGAGGACACTAATTTAGTTTTTGAAGGAGGAGTTCATGGGATGTCTATCCTAAGGGAAGTTGACACACACATTTGTAGAACAAAAGAAACTTCTTCCATTCACAGAGAGAAGTCTCTGTGCTCTGAAAGGCAGATGGAGAGTCCTGTAGGATTTCCTGTTACAGAAATAATGACTGAGGAAAACGACAAAGACTTGAACAGTCTTGGGGAATCTGGTAAAGACGGGGGCAGAACTTCAACAGAAACTCCTGAGTTTCAAGAGGAGGCCAGTGGATCTGCAGAAGAAGACTATCCTTTAAGAAAGGTTAAATACGCCAAACACTATGACAGCTTTTCAGTGTTCAAGGAAGAATTGAACACTTCTAGGAGCTCAGTAGAGGACCTGTCACAAATTCACATGGCTGTTGATGACCACCAAGTGTTTGGCCTTTCTACACTGCACACAGAAAATGATGAGAGTGATAAACAATTAAAAATAAATATGCTAATGGATATAGTCATACCTTGTAAAACTAATCACTCTCCAAGTATGACAAAAGAGGTGTCACATTTCACAGGTGTGAGTGAGTCTGAAAGTAAGCTTTCCATGATGCATGAAACTGTGTTCCACAGTGATGAGACTACTGAAAGGGCTCCTGAACATGGAGGAAATTCAAATGCAGTTGGGTGGGCCTGTGACAATGAGAAGAATTTGCTAAGAGATGAGGCATCAGAAGAGATTCCAACTAAACCAAGTACTTTAGAAACTAATTTATTGCCACACCAGCTACTAGCTGAATGCTCCAAAATTTATAAAAGTGTTATAAAAAATAGTAAATTAGATGCAGCACTGTTCACATCTGCTGACTCATTAGAAAGAAAAGACAATGAAGAACTTGGATCAAATGTTGAGCAAAGTGTGCCACATGAGGCTGGCATAGAAACACCTGTGCCTGGTGAAGAACTAAATGATAAACAGGAAGAAACTCATGCTGCTTTTAGCTTGGCAGACTTCAATACAAGAGCATCGCAGGATGCTATCAACAGTGGCACTTCTCTTCAACAGACAGATTTTCAAAAAAGCAAAAGAGAAAACATTTCTGTTAAAAGCTCTCAGAATCCAGCCATGTTGAGTGCTATTTCTGACCCGCAAGCTGAATATCAAAATTCTGAGTCACAAGAAACAATATTGGAAAACTCACCTGCTTTAGAACTAGAGTCATCTGTAGATCTTGCACCCCAAAGGAGCAGCAGATCAAAGCAGAAAGCCCAAGAACCATCAAAAAGCATAAAAGATTCAGCCAAGATGATAGACCAGGACAGCCAGGGCAAGTTTTCACAGAGGTTATCTCAAGGTAAAGGGAAAAAGAAAACTTTGCAAGTCCAGCTAACCCAGCAAGTTCTTGCAAATACTGATACTTCCACACCTAGCAGATGCTCACCTGAGACCATCAATAAAATTAGACAGGAGATGGGCCCACCTCTTCCTCCCCTGCTTTTGCCTTTGAAAGCTACTCCTCCTAGAACAGTACGGCCTGCTTCCCCAGTGATGACTTCAGCTAGTCAGTCCTCTCTGCCATCTCCTCTTGATGACCTAATATCCCCACTACGTGATATTCCAATTCCTCCACTTGTCTCCCCCCTGGCAGATACCCCAAAACGCAGATCTCCCCCTAGGATGTGCACTCCATCACCCTCAGAAACCACCGTATGTCGAAGAATCCTGTCCTCGCCTTTGCAGTTTTGTGCTGCCACACCAAAACATGCACTTCCTGTACCGGGGCGACTTCCACTATCTGCGTCTGGTAGTGGTGCTCCAGGCGTTCCTCAAGAAAACTCTGTGAAAATACTGGACACTATGTATCCAGAGCTATCAGCAAGGGCAAGAACACTCAACATCCTCAAAGGTAACATTCAGCTCAATAGATGTGCCCCTTCAGACTCCAAAAATCTACCAGGGCCTGTGAGTCAGATTACTGGGTTCAAAACAATTGCTTCTAAATCCACTGCTTTCGTTAAAACGGGAAGCAGCTCGAAACCTGACAGCAACAGAGATCAGCAGACAGATCTGGGGAATCAGCAGCCATGTACCAGCTCATTGAATCAAATTGGGAAAAGAACATTGTCAACATCTATGCCAAGAAGCGCTAAGAGGCTGCGTCTAGATAGTGAGTCGCCCAGATTGGAAAGTAATGATAAGGAAGATGTTGCAAATAAAGGTAAAGGAGACTTCAGTAGCGAAGTGCAGAGTGCTATGGGTAAAACTATGCGCCTCAACAATTTTGAAATCAGTCAGTCTGTAGGGAACTCTAGTTCAGAAATGTCTTCATCAGTAGAGAAGATTATTGATCCTGACAGCAAAGCTGTGTCTTTGGCACTGAAGAAAATTTCTGAATCCTGTTTTGACCTGTTTCCTGTCATACGGAGTCATGTGCATGTAGGCAATATTTCAAAGGTCCCAGTAATGAGAAATGAAGAGAAGGACGTCGTCTATGAATTTGGTGTTGCAAACAAGGTATGTGGCGTATCTTTAAATTTTGTGTGCCAGTAACTGCCTTTGTTCAGATGAAGAGAATGTAAATGTCCTGGAAGTGAAAACTTGAAGTTGGAAGTTTAGGTTCTCTGTAATGATGGTATTTGTGCTGTTGAGATGGTGAAGCCAGCAAGTACTTTGTAAAACTGTATATTTAAACAAAAAAAAATTAAGACTTTAGACTAATTTTAAGTTTCGATAGCTTCAAGACATTACAGTTAAGATATTTGTTCCTTTGGTATCCACACATTGCTCCATCCATTGGTGTACTCATTTTCCTGACAGTCATAAATACCAGAGTTAGCATGGTTAGTTCTTTTTCTCTAAACTTTTATTCTGGTGGGTAGCAGAATTATTTATGAAATACTTAAGTTTCCCTCTGTAAATCTGTGGTCTGATTCTTCCTCTTACAAAAGATATTACACTGGACAGTTTATTTGGTTATGTCACAACAGCTCACCCTCTGTTCAATCCATTTAGAATCATGAGATTAAGATTTTCTAGAATTGGGGAAGGGCAACTCCTAGTCCTGAAATATACACACTGATAACTTCTCTAATGTTATAGTAGAGATACTGTAATGACTCCGATTTCCTCTTAAGGTTGTAGTCCCTATTAGGCCATTTATCAACCCATAGGGTGGAGGATCACAAAAAGATGAAATCTTTGTGAATCTATAACCTGATGTTGGTTGGAGTATCTTGGCCCTTTTCGGAAAGGTACCTAAAAGGTTACCATCTCAATTTTTATCATTGTTTATCATTGGCTGCAATCTTTTGTACCAGTCCTTTTTCATGGGATAATACCATAGGTCTGTGTCACCTAAACATTTGAACATTTCTAAAAAAATGTTTATAAAGAACCATAAAGTCACTTTGCTTCTTTGTTATAATAATACTTATTCTGATAGGCCTGTTGTGAGGACCTCAGATATTTGTGTTTGTATGCCTTTAAAATCATTGCTTATGTCACCATGTACCTTCTTAATATGGTTACAAGGAGCATGCTATTTCATGTACAGAGTTTACGTTCATGTTTATTTGTCACCTACTCTCCAATATATCTTGGTTATTTTTACTAATAGGCAATTGCTTTTGCTTGTTACAGCATTTAGCAGAGCTGCTGCTGCATACTATTCTCAATAAGCTTAAGACTGAGAAGACATCCTTGGAATACAGTTTCACACATGCTCTCTGCCGAGTATACATAGGAATCTGTCGGCAGTTAGGAGATTTGGAAAGAGCCCGTCTTTTCTGTTACAGCTTGCTTAAGGAAGGTATGGTTTGGTTTGGTTTAGCAATCTTGTTTTTCAAGGGTGGTATGCGCCTTTTTGTTTTAGATTTTATTCTTCCCTCATGCTGTATATGTATTTGCACTTTTGTTCAAGAGTGTAGTTATCCTTACTCCTTCTGCCTGTAAATGGACATGTGTGTTCTTCTTGGGTCTTGTGGCGCAAATGGACAGGTTTTTATTAAACTGTAGTCTCTTGCCTATTCTTCTGCTTCACCCCAGTTGATCCCTGGCTCATTTGCACCTTTAATGTTACAGTGACATTCATGGTAGTTTTTGGCCTCTCTTTCTCTCTTTGTTTCCAGTTTGAATGCTTGTCTTGTGATTTTGTGTGTTTCCATTCTCTTTATATTTCTGAGCTATATTTCACCACCTTTTCTTTATTAAGCTGTTAGCATCTAGCAGGTTTTAATGCATTTCTAGAGTTATAACTCTGTCTGCCCAGGTAACTTTTAATGGGTTTTTGTGGTGGGTACGAGTGAAAAGTATCTATTTTTGCCACAAGGGTTGTTAACAATAGCCATGGTTCTGCTCTGTGCACCAGCATCTCTGTTATGCTGCTGAATAGCTTCATTCTTTTACGGACTGAGCAGCTTTTGTTGCTCCAGACTTAACCCATTCACATTTCCAGTTGCGTTCTCTATTCCTTTTGTTATCATTTCTGTGGTGTTGTCCGCTGTTACTGACCAACATGATAGCTAAGTTTTTTTAACATTTTTTTTCTTTTGTTCCTCACCAGTTGCATTGGGTCTGTTGTTCATTTGTGTTACCACGTTGCTGGTCATTGTTGAAACACTGTACTGTCTTCTGGCAGCTCATTTGCATTTGTATGTTTATATGTAGAAACTGAGAGGAAGGTGGTCTCGTCCACAGAAATCTAAGTATTCAGGTTCCAATGGAGCCAGTCCGAAAAGCAGAAATGATGATATTTATCCTTGACTGACTCCTATCCCCATCTTAAACCATCCTGTTGTTGTTTAGTCCACTTTTATATAGGTAAAGCTTAGTAATTCTTTAATTGTCTTCTGTAATATTTTGTAGCTAGCTATTAACTTCTATAAGCTGTCTCTGCCAAGACTCAGCAGAGCCTTTTTGAAGTCATCTAAGGTAATGATTGGTATTTGATACCAGAGTACATTTTTCTAGGATTTTTCACAACAAATATTTATTGACTAAACACTCTCCTTTTCTAAAACTCATTTATCTACTCCTAACAAATTGTCTCTGGTTTCATCTGCCATAACATCCCGCTATAAGCTTTTTCTAGTTCCGAGTTCTTTCTTCATAAACAGAGAGCAGTTGCTCTGAGATAAGCAGCTCAGTAGTGGGACTGCCTTGAGGAGGCTTTTCCGGTAGCTAGTGACTTTGGTGCTTGAGTGTTTTCCTAGTGTCTGTGTTTGGGGTGTGCGCGCACATGCACAAGGGCCCAGATGGGTTTTGGTGGGATCTTTTACACCCAGTAAAGATTATTTGGATAAGGAAGAAGGGGGCAAACTGAGGAATGAGATAATAAGAGACGGTCAGAGAGCTTTTCATGGGTCTGAATTAATTCAAGTCAGCAAGGCATGATGAACTTCTCCCAGAGAACTGAAGGAACTGGCAGAGATCTCGGAATGAATTTCATGAAGTTGTGCGAGATGGGCCAGGTACCAGAGAACTGGAAAAGGGCCATCATAGTGCCCATCTTTAAAACAAAGCAAACAGAAGGACCCAGGAGACTACAGACTGGTTAGCCTCACCTCAATACCCAAGAAGTTACTGGAATATATCCTGAGGAAATCCATTTGCAAGCATCTGGAAGAGGAAAAGCTGACCACAAGCAGTCAGCATGGATTTACTAAGAACAAATTGTGCCAAGCAAACTTAATCTTTTTTGACAGAGTAACTACTTGGGTCGATGAAGGGAATGCTGTGGATATGGTATATCTGGACTTCAGCAAGCCTGTTTTGACAAAGCCCCACCTGACCTTGTCTTAAACAAATTGGAGAAATGTGGGTTTGACAAAACTACTATAAAGTGGATAGACACTCCATAGCTGAAAGCAAAGGATAATTAATGGATCCATCTCACAATAGCAGGAGGTTTCCCCACAAGGGTCTGTCCTGAGCCAGTGCTGTTCAGCATAGTCATTATTTGCATGGTGTCATAGTTTCTTGAGCAAATTTGCAGATGACATGACACAGAAGGATTATGAACATGTTGAAGAATGGGAACGCAATTCAGAAGGATCTTGAGAGAATGGAAAGCTGGGCTGAAGCTAACAGGAAGAAGTTCAGTGCTGACAGAAGCAAGGTGCTACACTTCAGGGAAGAGTATTCAAAAATACAAATACAAAATGTGTGACACCTGGCTGTATGGCAGCACTACAGAAAAGGATCTGTGCGTCTTGGTAGATTACAGGGTTAGTATGAGTCTGCAGAGCTGTGCAAAAAGCAAATGTGGTTTTGGGATGCATCAATAGAAGAATAGGTGCAAGATGCAGGATGTCAAAGTGCTTCTCTACTCTGCACTGGTTAGGCCTCATCTAGAGTATTGCATTCAGTTGCAGCTTCACATTTTAAAAAGGACATGGAGAAGTTAGGATCTACAGGCAGGCAGCAAAAATGATAAAGGGGAAGGGAAGTCGTACAAGGAGAGGCTTAAAGGGGCTAGGCATGTTCAGCTTGAGGAAAAGGTGCTTAAGAGGGGACCTGGTAGCAGTCTTAAAAAACCTGAGGGACTGCTGTAAGGAAGAGGTAAAACACCACCATTTCTCTTTTGCTGCATAGAGTAGGACACAGAACAATGGCTTAAAGTTGCAGCAAAGGAGGTTTGACTCAATATCTGGGGAAAAACTTCTTCACAGTAGTGCAGCGAGACAGTGGAATAGACTGCCTGGGATAGTTGTGGACTCTCCATCACTAGAGAGGTTGGACAGCCATTCGTTGGGGTTAAGCCTATGTTATACTATAGGAATTCCCCATGTTTCCGGGGTTTAGTTGCTGCATGGGGCTGGAAGGGAATTCTATGCCTGCTCCTTCCATTTCCCCCCCCTCTCTCCCCTTGCTACTACATGGGATGTAGGGTGCAGGAGGAGTTATAAGCCTTTCTCAGAGGCATTGGATGTTGGCTGCAGCCAAGGTTGGGGATTTTGGCTGGGGTATTCCAATGCTCATGCTGGGACTTAAAGCTGGAGGTTTCTGGCTAGAATGCCTTGTCCATCTACTTGGGTTCAGACCGATTGCCATACTTGGGGTCAGGAAGGAATTTTACCCCGTGGTCAGATTGGTGCGGACTGTGGGGATTTTTTTTCCTCTGTAGGGGGGCATAGCCATATTCCTGGGATCTCTTGACCCCATATTAACAACCTTTTACAGGAACAAGACCTTGGCTGCCATGGTCACCCTGCTTTACTTGTGGCAGGTTAGGGTGTTATGTCTTGCATTGTGTCAAGGTTGACTGCAGTTTTACTATGAGGTTAGATTATGGATTTGTGTAGGATGATTTGACTAAGGATGGTCCTGCCTCAAGCTGAAGGTTGGATTAGATGACCTCTGGAGGTCTCTTCCAGCCCTACCTCTATGATTCTGATTTAATAATATTCTGTGCTACTTGTTACAGGCAATTGTTAGGCCTTGGTATTTTGACAGTTTAGTTCTTTTCCAGTAGCTTGGTCTGTTCTCTTTTCATTTACAGTTATAGATATTGAGTTGTTTCTTTAGATCCTGCCTCTAGTAGTTCAGCAAATTTGTGAATGTTGGGTGACCTGTTTTACTGTTCTTCAGCCTATGGAATTTCATAGCAAAGTTGGGAAATGTTATTGTTATATAATATGCACAAAAAATCCAAAATTGTGTAACAAATTTAAAAAGTCCCTCTTTCAAAGAGGATGATCAGTTTCTTGGCATGTCTACATGGTAAACTTAAATGTCCCAGCAGTGATGCCTCATGCATGCTTCCTTGCTTTGGACAGATTACCACGTCTGTGGTAACACTGTTGGTTGCAGTGTAGCCATGTGTGCGTGGTTCTGGAGGCATGCTAAATGGACCTGTCACTCAGCAATTGTAATGAATCTGCCTGAAGTGCTACATGAACTTGATTCTGGCTAAGAAGAGCCCTCTTGGAATGTGCTCTGCATAGATGTCATGGGACCAGTGGATTGTGTCGGACAGCATGAGACAGCACATCAGCTTGGCATAGTGGTGGGAGATGCGGCAGGCACGTGTGACGTTTTCGTTGCTGGGGTCCCAGGCTCCGAGCGTTCCCACGACGAGCGCATCGATTGTTATGTCATAGCCGCAGCCCTTTAGGATGTCGGCTAGCAGGACATACTTCTGCCTGCGAGCCCAGATGTCGGTAAAGGCTTGGTGCTGGTTCTCGAAGGGGATGGTCACGTCCACAATCACAATCTTCTTGGCCTTTTAGTTTGTGATCACCATGTCGGGACGCATCTGGCTCTCGCAGCCCGGGATGGTGTGGCTCACGGAGGTCTCCCCTGCTGCAGCTGGGATGGCCCTCACCAGGCGGTCCTAGACAGCATTGTGGCTAAGCTGCCAGGCTCTGGCGTGCGGCCTGCAGCTGCACAGCACATGAAAGAGGGTCTCTGCCATGTAGCCGCACCTTCGGCACCTCTTGTCCCAGTGGCCGAAGTAGACGGCCCCTTTCAGAGGCAGGCAGTTGAGGCGGGCGTGGTGGAGGAAGCGCCAGTCTGCAAAGCACGTGAAGCTTCCACTGGGCATAAAGTGGTTGCTGGAGTCCCACTTCGAGGTGACGTCGAAGACCTTGCCCTGGCCGGGCTTGCCCCTCAGGTTAGTGGCGTACTTGCTGCAGGTGGTGTCCTTCAGGAACTGCTCCAGGAAGGTCCTCATGCGGGTCGTCACGGTGACGCTGTTGGCATGTGGGGCTGGTTGCAGGGAGACTCCCAGCTCCCGGCACTCCTCGTTCCAAGTCCAGGTGCAGCTGACGCGCTTGCTGAGGCGGCGCATGGCATTGCGGGCTCGGCTCCACAGGGAAGCAAAGTTCCCGCCATCTCTGCTGAACTTGTCCTCCAGCGAGCCACTGAGGAAGGTGGCCAAGTCACGTCCGGTTGGTTGCCTCGCGATCCTCTTGTGGGTGGTCTCCTCGAGGGCACTGGCGGCGATGGTACTTACTATCGGGTTACTACATCTTGGCATTGGCCATTTGGCTAATCTGTTAATACCCAGATAAGTTCGGATTCTGCCCGGAACCACCCAGTTGCATCTACTCAAAACTTTTGTTCATCTACCACTACTTTGACACTGACATCTGATGGGTAGAAAGTAGTCAGAAAAACAAGTGAGCCACCATGTAGATCATCATCTCCAATGCCTAATAGGTCAAGTCATAAGAGTTACTGCATTTGTGGTTCTCCAATTCAGTCTTTTTAGGGCTGCAAGCCTGAGAGGTGTCTTCCAGTGTCCTGGTAGCCTCCAAGACGGGCTTTGCGGTACCCACTAAACTGACAGGTAGCAATCTCAGCACCAAGTACCTCAGAGCTCTGAGTCCTAGTAACTTCTGCTTCTGCCTACTCTGCAGTATGTGCTCCCTCAGCATTGGCTATTTCTATACATAAATCTTATATGTTATAGTGTAACTTGTTGATGGGCCTGGTACTGTGGCTGCTTCTCCTTGAGAGATTGCACATGGTGGCATCCAGACCAGCAGCTTTGGAAATCAGATTTGTCAGATTTCATCAAAAATCTGGCCACGTTACCCAGTAGGAGTATGAGTATTACATAGGCATTCAGGAAGAAAATCAGGAAGTCTAAGGTACAAATTGAAATGCAACTTGCAAGGGACATAAATATGATTCTATCAATATAAGCAAGAGGAAGATCAAGGAAAGTCTAGGTCCGTTATCCAATGCAGAGGGCAGTTTCTAGTAATGGATGACTTGGAATTCTGAAATATTTAATGACGTTTTTACTTCAGTTGCAGCTGATCGAGGTCAGCTATCAGCTGACGAGTACACTTGGCAGCATGGATAGGGGAGAAGATGAGCAGCGTATCACTGGGAAAAGAGAGTAGGGATTACTTGGAGAAGCTGGATGTTCTCAAATCAGCAGGGCTGTAGAGGATGCATCTTAGAATTCTCAGGAAATTGGCTGAATCATTTTAAAACCATTGGCTGTTGCCTTTGAGAACTCATCAAGATTAGGTGAGATCTTGGGTGATGACTGAAAAACCAGTAAATACAGTGCCAATCTTTAAGAAAGGGAAGGAGGAGGATCCTGGGGTTTACAGACTGGTCAGTCTGACCTCGATACCTAGGAAAGTCAAGATATCTATTTCTAAGCACCTTTGATTTTTTTTAGAGACACTGTCTCCCACCCATGTCTATATTAGTAAACAAAGGAAATACAGTCCAGACGCAAGTACTGTAAGGTGAATATAATGGATTAACGTGCTCAAACTGTAGTCATCAGTGGGTCATTGTCTAATTGGAAGGAGAGAGATCCCTGGGGAAACCTGACTCCAATATTATTCAACAGCTTCACTAATGATTTGGAGGATGGGATTGAGAGCACATTTAGCAAATCTGCAGATGAAATTTGCAGGCTAGGTAGAACTGCAGATGGTGAAGGGTAGGATTAGGATTCAGAATAGTCTTGATAAATTGTAGAAATTGTCTAAAATTAATTGAATGAACTTCAATAAGGATAAGGGTAGGCAGTCCTCCACTTAAGATGCAACAACTGCATGCACAAACACAGACTGGGGCATGACTGGCTAGTTTGCCATATTGTGGAAAAGAAGCTGGGGCTTATAGTGTACCATAAATTGAATATGAGCCAACAGTTGCCAAAAAAAAAAAAGTTAATAGCATACTGGACTATGTCAACAGAAGCATCCTTGCAAGTTAAGAGAGATAATCTTTCTTCTGTGTTTAGAACTGATGAGGCGTCACTTGGAGTGCTCACCACTTTTGGGTGCCACACTTCATGTAAGACAAGGTTCCTTGGGTGAATCTGATATCTTTTATTAGATCAACCACTTCATGTAAAACACGGACAAGTGTCTAGTGTAGACTAACAAAAATTATTAGAGGCCTAGGAAGCATGGTGTACAAAGACAGGCTGGAAGAACTAAGATTATCTAATCTGGAGAAAACAAGACTATGGGGAGATTTGATAATTCGTCAAATACCTGAAGAGTGGTTAAATAGAGAATGGTGATAAGCTATTCTCCGTGGCTGCAGGGGATAGAACAAGAGGCAGTGGTCTCAAACTATGAAACAGCAATTCAGGTTGCATATTAGAAGGAACTTGCTCACTATGAGGGTAGTTAAGTACTGGAACATATTTCTTGAGAAGTTGCAGGATCGCCATTATAGGAAGATTTTTATGAGCAGGTTAAACAAATGTGTCCAGGACAGGTTACGTGGAGACAATTCTGCCTTGAGCCATGGGGTTTGAATAGATTACCTCCAGAGGTCCCTTCCAAACCTACTTTTCTATGATTCTGTGATTATGGTGGCATCCCTGGAACCAGCCTCCTCCACAGAGGCTGCATATTAGGCCTGTGCGAAGTGGTTAGTATTCACTTCGGATATGGTCGATTCAGGGGACAGTGATTTGATTCGGTAGTCCGGGTCCAGCTCCATACTGCAGTGAGCGGGGACTGCCCGAATCCACGAATCTCTCCGAATCTTTTCCACATCAGTTCGGAGAGCTTTGAATCAATTTGGACCTTTTCATTAGTCTCCTGATTCGATACGGATTCAGAGATTCGGCCACCAAATCGGGCTGAATCTCCTCCGAATTGAATCAGCACCCGAAGCTTCGCACAGCCCTAGTGCATACTTCCAACAGAATGGCACCCTCCTTCAAAAAAGTGTTCCTTTGCCATTGAGCCTAGTAGGAACTCATTACCCACCTGTCCACCACCCCCTCTGTGCAGCACAGTGTGTCAGGAAGGGATTTTAAAGGAGTCCATGAAAAGGAGCAAGAAGAGACTTGTGGCTAATCCTTCCTCAGTATCCCCACATGCCTTTGTTTCAGTACTTCTACCTTATCAACTGTAGTTTTGTTGTGCACCTCCGTGTGTGTTTGTGCAGCCTTAGACTAGAAAACTTTTATCATCCAGTGTCTCTAGGACTAGCTTGTCCATTACGCAGAGGCAAATTGTAAACCAGCTGAGGCATGTCAGCTGGTGGCCTATAGAAACACAGGCAGATAATGAGGGAAAACACCGTCTCCATGCACAGCAAGCTGCATGTTGTTGTCCTTTCATCTTTTCCAGATGTGGCACAGTTTTTTTCCCATTCTTGTCCCACAGATGAATTGAAGAGACTCCAGGGCCTCACTAAACATGGTGAAGACCTTGGCTATACCAGGAAGTGGTTCAAAAAACCATATACCATTGCATCAACAAACTTCTTGCTCACCCAAGAGCAACAGTGAATGTAGACCTTGGACTTCCAAGATGCATGGTCTTTCCTGATGCAGTTTGCCAGGTTTATCATAACTCAGTACAAGGCTGTGTGCAGTCTGTATATCTACGGATTTATCCATCCACATGTAACATGGTCATGGTCTTTCCAGAAGACCTGTCCATACTGAAGTGAAAAGACCCGTGACCTTGATGACGGATGCTTCCACTTGACGATCAGAGTCTTATCTAAATCATCTTTGACGTCAGGGTACTGCTCTGGGGCGGTTATCAAAATGTACTGTGAAAATAAGAGAATAACATTAAAAAAACCCACTGCCTGTAAGCATGGTAATGATTGCTCCCTAATTATTTTGGAAACAAATGTTAAGTTTAGCTAAGTTTTTAGTGGTGGTCTTTATAACATGGTATGTTGGATTAAAGCAATCCTGTCAAGTTAAAGATGGTTGGATGGATAATACTTCATTTAGATGCCTAAATGGGAATTGACGATTGTCTTTAAAATCCTTCAAGACACTAATCCCACTCTTACATGTCCGTCTTTCTTCTGTAGCCTGGGGCCATTATAGCTACAACACCAGGACTCCTGAGGTCTTCTGACTGTTGTGGTGGCTTTAAAATTCTTTGTATGTTAAATATGTTTTGCTTGGTGGGTAACCCACACAAAAGAGAGGGCACTGAATTAGCTAACAGCATGATTAGGGATACAGTGCAATTTGACACCAAAGATTTGGTAAGAATTATTTAATGGCAGGTAAAGATTTTTGACCATTGTATTTAATTTGTCTTTACAACCCTGACTACCAGCTCCCACTATTTCTGTTTCAGCAGAGGCATTTGCAAAAACTGTTTTGTAGGGAGACTGCGTGGTGTTCTGAAAATGGGTCTAAAGAACTATTTTGACAGTGTAAAATGTTTTAAAGCCAGTTGTATGTTTAATTTATACAGTCAAGAAATGGTTTAAGCAAGAACCACCTGTAAAGAAGTGTGCTGGCCTTGCAGTCTGAGTAGCTGACTTAAAAAAAAAAAGTTATTAGAGACTTATCTCCCCTTTGATTGATCTCTTCTATTCTCTCTTAGACTTTCCAGAATCTGAGAAATTGATTTTGTTTATCGTAAGCGTGTGGCAAGATATATTCTCCTTCCAAGGTGTGATTAACAAAGCTGTGCAATTAGTTGCCAGGCAACATGCAAGAGGAGAGGTGCTGAAATGTCTGAATGCCTATTTGAACTGGGAAAAGGTAACCTGTACTTTTGCTATCTGAATGGGGCTTTAGGTCTGCGCTAATTTGCATGCAAGCTTAGTGCCTAGATAAACCACTAGCAGGCAGAAGGATGCAGAGAGAGGCGCAACAGAAGTCTCCCAAGTAATCTGTTACAGTATACAGCTGCTAATGCTGCTGCCTGTTTTGCTTTTTCCTGCTACCCTCTTTCCTGTTTAAACCTTGTTGGGTTTTTTTAACATGCACTTTTGTTTTTTAAAGTTGGTGGGGGGGTTTGGTATTTTTTAAGCCTCCGTGGGAGCCTTACAAGTGAGGAAAGGATTTACCCTAAAATGCTGCAAATGGAAATGAACTGCTAATCCCAATTTTTGCTGGGGTCCCAGCAGTCCTAAAATACCTGCTACACCTTAAGTTTCAGGATTTCTTTAAGTCACTCCACAGTTAAGGATTTCCACAGTTATGTTACAAAAAAATGCATCTAAATCATCCTCAGGCTTCTTCTCAAGGGCATATGGTACATGTGTTTTAGAGCCCTTGCCTTGCTCTTGAGTAGAGAGGTAGCTGGTCATTTTAGTTTGAAATTGGGCAAAAAGCAGGGCAGCACTTGCTGTAGCATCTGGTAAAGTAGGCTGTTGTCTACAAAAGTTTAGACCTCTCTGAACTAGTTAGTTGCTAAGGTGCCACCCTGCTCTGCTTTCTTTTTGCCTTGTTCTTGTGAAGGTAGTGGGCTTTCCATTGTTATTATGAAATCTGACACTAGCCCATGAAACATTTATCAGTTTTAGGGGGTACTCCTTGGTGAGCAGTAGCTGGCTTTGCACTTGCATGAGACTTATCTTACAATGCTTTTCAATTCAGTTCTGCATCTTGGCATTTGGGGAGCCGTAAGTGGGAATTGAAAGGTAACTTTCAATGAACAGTTTCTTTTAAGTAACCTCTGTTCATATGGAGGTGCGTGTAATCCAGTTGGACCCTAACCAGTCTATGAAAGGCAAGTATTGAGGATATAAAACGTAGTTATGAATAAAAACATAAATTATGGTATGCGTTACTGAGTCAATACCAGTAGGAAAAGTTGGTGGTGATTTGTTTGTTGGCAGTGTTAAGAAAGCTTGCATACAGTTTTTGATAGATAACTTTTCATTTAAAGATCAATCTTTAATTTTCCAGGAGTCACCTTTGGATGCAGGCATTATGGTTTCAAGCTTACTTTTGGCAATACAGCTGTGTCCAAAACTCGAATTCCAATCAAGTGATCAGTATGGAGAAGACCTACCTGAAAGCACTTGGGAGTACATATTTGCCATTGAGCTACTATGTTCTCATCTGAAATGGGACTGGACCCACAACAATATCATTAGGTATTGTGTGACTCACCTCCCTGCTTCAAAGTGTTAGAGTTACCCAAATCGTTTGTTTTTTGAATGGCTGTAGGAGCATCTGTTGGCCTCTTGGCCCAGACCAATTTGTGAAGGAAGTAAAATATTTGACCTGCCTCTTCTGAAAATAGTTGTTTCTTTCCAACTGATGTAAGAGTGACTGAAAAACACACCTCAAAACTGATGTATTAATTCCAATCAAAACTCTAGCATGGAACAAAAACACTATTGTATTTTGTCTAGTCTCTTCCTGGTTTCTGCTTCAGGAGGCAAGAAGCCTTTTTGACTGTACTGTTCTGCCAGGAATTGATGTCAGCCTTAGTATCCATAGTAATTTTAGAAACATTTTGTGGAAATGTGCAGTGTGTGTATGATATACAGAAATGTGGTAGTGGTCGGCTTATGGGCTGATTAAACAGAGCACTTGCGTTTAAAGTTTTCTCATTTGAAAAAATACTAGTTATTTGTAAGAGCCTCAATTTACGTATAAGGCCAAATTTAAACTAGTAATATTCCTTAAGGGAAGAACTTCGTATGGCATGGCATGATGTAAGCACCCTGCAAATTACAAAAGCTACCCTGTTTTTGTTTTTTGTGTATGATACATGTCACAAAAGCTATTTCAGGGCAATGCTTTTTTTAGAATTGGTAAAAGCATAGCTGTAGTGAAATTTGCATATATACTGTCTTAATTAGGATTTAGGCTACCAGTGAGAGTCATATAAATCGTGAATAACCTAACGGTTCCCATTTTTATGTATAGGCAGAACTGTTAAGGTCTAGTATTTGATGTCCTGGAAAGTTAGAAGTACTGTATTTACTTGAACATGATGACCTATTATAAGACCTAATGACTGATTATAAGACGACCCCCCCTCAATAATTAGATTCTGTATATTGGAAATTTATGTATCTGTTATAATTTTCGAGGTATAGAATGTAGTTATTGGAGGTTTGCCTTGAATGTGTCTTCCTCCCACTGCTACATCAGGGAAAATAAATCTGGGGGGGGGTTAGGTAGCCCAAACTTCCTTTCTCCTACCTCCTTACTGTCAGACCCTGTTCTCCCTGAGCACATTGAAGCAAAGGAAAAATTTGAAAACACTGACTGAAATAAACATACATGTAATAACTTTCATATAGAGAAATTATTACATATCCATAGGTTTAGTTCTTGTAGAATTGATGCCATTTACCTCTTTTGAAACTGCTGCAAGTTTTAGTACAGGTACTCCGTAAGCACACTTTTAAACAGCACTTCACCTACCTATAGAGTGTATAAACTCTTCATGATGTTAGTCCAAAGCCAAAAGACTCATGATTTACCATATAGATCATTGGGTTGGACCTCAGCAGAGACGAGTGTTTCAAGCCATGGTAACCCCCAGAACAGCAGTGCTGTGTGTGTGGGGGGGTGTGTGTGTGTGTGGGCGGGGGTGTGTGTGTGTGTGTGTGTGTGTGTACACTCCCACAAAGGATCCATGTGCAACTTAGCCCCTCAGTCATGACTGGAACTGCATTCTCTTGTCAGAGTCCTGGGATCTTCCAAAAACGTATAGACAGCCGAGGCACGGGGCAACCTTGGATGGAAGGCAGGGCCATGCTAATCATGTGCAACAGGCTGAGAGAGGGGGTGACAGATAGATTTTGGGTGAAGCGTTTGGGGCCCAGTTTGATGTTTGCCAGACATTTAAGGCTGGTGAAGAAACAGGATTACACCCCCCCCCCCTTAGTTTTCACTTATTTTTTTACTACATAAAAATTATAGAATAATTTTCTATTGGAAAAAGCCTCAGGCCACAACCAGTTAGAATGTTTTTGAGACTGGATTCCTATTTGAAATCTCTGGTTTTACCTTGTGAATAATGGTTTGCACACCTAAGTGTGCTAATATTGTGTGACACCCTTGAAAGGATCCCAAGGCGCTGAACCCTGCCATGAAACTCTAGTTGAGAATCCTTATTAGGGGAATTTATTTCTTACAACAGATCTGTTTTTATTTCTTAAAAAAAGCAGGGGAAAAAGCTGGTTTATAGCTCTTCAGAGGGCAGGATGTATAGCATGTAAAATTTAATTGCAAGAAGATAGATCTTTCATCAGACAAAATGGTAAAAGTTTTATGGTAAGCTGAAGAACTATACGATGTATTCATTTCTTACATGACTGTAGCTCCGTATCAGTACATTAGTCTTTCAAGTCTTACGTTTTCAACTTCCAGTTTTTTTTTTCACAGTAAAGAGCTTTGGCCTCTCATGCATAAGTGGATACAGCACAGAAAAGGACATGAGGCTGTTCAGTCTATTCCAGATATTATTGTAGCATCAGCACTCAGGCTAATTGGTGAGTAACTGAAGTTTTAGTTGAATCCTTACTTTGTATAGGTATGCCCTCTGAAGATGTCAGGGTGACTGCTGGAAGTATTTGTATGCTTTTTGGATCTTGAATTCATTTACTTTTAATGTGATTTCATAAAAATAAATCAACCGTTTTTAATTTCCTATGCAGACATCTTATCTCATCTTCTCTATGTGGGAAATTTGACCTAATTTTGGTATGTATTTGAGTCTTCAGAGGAGAAATTGTTAGATTATGGTGTCTGAAAGATTTCTGATGGCTCAGTGACTTTGGGATGTATTAGTAGGAAATAAAGAATCCTTTTAATGTATGCCACTTCCTTGTGGAGAAGGTTCTGGTGCTGCTGTATTCTGGGGCTCCATCTCTTTACAGATGTTCTGGCAGACTCCTGCGTTGTAGATGTGATTGCATAGACCACCTTCATCATTCATCACAAGAGGAGAAGGAGGAAGCTGTGTACTGTTGTGTAATTGTTTCCAATTTGGGAGAGGAGGAACATTTGCATTTTGCCTGACTTGCTTCTGTATGCAAATTGGTGACTGCACATGAGACGGGATGTTCTTTCTTAACCTAGTCATTTGGGTAGAAGGTAGGCTGGGTGGATCACACTATGGACTTGTGAGGTTGCTGGGATTTATGGCAATCTGTGGCAGGAAGTAGGGTCTATGTTGGGTCTGGGGAACGTGGGTACAGAGGGGGCTGTGGATGAAGATGGTGGGTGGGAGCTGTTGGATGTTAGGGTGTGAGCTGCTTGGGGTGGAGCCTGCACGATTTTTGAGGAAGTGGGTGTGAGTGCTGGAGTGACGACTGTGTTGAAGAATGGGAAATAGATATTAGATGTAGGGGGCAAGGGTTGAGTCTTAGGCTACAGATTGGGTGGGAACCATGGCACCCAAGTAAGCAGACTGGCCTTACCCCCAGTGGGTGCCCTGAGCACTGTGCTTGACTGCTTCTTGCTGACTGTGGTCGGGGAGCATTGGCTTGTTTGGCCTGGGATCATGGAGCAGGAAGTCCAGGTAAATGAGGCAAGTCCAGGTTGGGGGACCTTTATCAGTTCTGTCCCAGGGCCCTTTCCCAGCTCAGGGACTGTCTGGGGTGTCTGCGTCTCTCCACACACCCTATACCCCTTGTGAGCAAAGCTCTTCCTTCAGCACACAGCCCTCCCCTGTCCAGTGCTCGCACCACACAGCTGCTGGCCTTCTCAACGTGCCCCACACAGGTCTCCTCTCCACAGCACACCATGTGCCATTTCTGGGCTGCAAGAGGATTGCTCAACAGTCTGTCAATGCCTATGGATGTAGATGATTTTAACAGCCCCGTCTCTGATCCTGAAATGCAGGAAATGCAAAGTGTACCATACCAGATTATTCAAAACTACCTAAGATATAAAGGTGTTTTTAGGAGTGAATCTGCAGAGAAAATGATTGTCTGTTTCCCAAAAGAGGAAAGCAAAATGCACCTGACAAAGAGAAAACACAAATGTCATGGTTATAGTAGTTTTCCTGAACTGGTAAGTAAGAAAGCATGTAGAAAACTAGACATTCGAGACTCTACAATACCTGGTGCTATTCCTCTTCAGTGTTGTGTTGTATTTTTATTGTTGTTTTCACGTGTCACAAGCTTATCCCACTGAAGAACCAAGTGCACTTGTAAACACCACTCTAAACTTTAGTGAGGCAGAGGCAGCTCCTCAAGTTGAAACCACGTCCACTGGTGAAGGACCCGCAACTGCCAAATAGCAGGATGTACAGTTTTGAAAGAGAGGAGGATTCGCACCCAGGAAGAATGTGTGGCACTGTTATACAAATGTTGACCATTTGACAGATATCAAAAGGCAACAGTTTTAACCCACAGGTTATCTATCACCTGCAAACTTTCTGTTCCCAAACAAACATGAAATCAGATCGGTGTGAGCACTGTAGAAGTTACAATTTGAAGCCTCTTCATGAATACAATTTTGCACGGGACTTAAAGCATATGGATGGAGTCTTCTGTGAACCATGATTTGTTTTTGGAAAACTGTAAAGAACCAGTTGGCATCAGCACTAATGACAGACTGGTCCATGGGAATAGGATTCCTCAGAGGCACAGAAAGTTGAAAACAAATGAGATTTGTAGTTGCTATGGCTGATGCATTATTTGTGTATGTGATGAAAGACAAATAATAGCCCACTTGTTTCTGAAGCAGGATTAGAAAAACATTGAATGAATAGTACATGCTTAGTGGGAAGTTGTCAAAATTTTGATGTTGTGTGGAAGCATTATAGATGGAGAGGCTTCAGACCGCAGGCAATCTCAATACACTTTAAACAGCTGACTTGGGCCTGATTTTCTAAGATCTGGGTGGGTGACCACAGAATCCAAATTGAAAACGAGCCGATGCGTCGGAGGGCTACAGATTCAATGCAAACATCTGGCACAAGTGAAAGTGGCAAGATTCTTCAGCTTGGGGGGGCAGTTTGGCTCAATGACACTTGTGAAAGAGCAGATAGCAGTGCTGATGTGGTACGTTCATCAAAATGGAACCGTGAGATTTTTATCTAGTGCGTGGGAGTCTGGGAGACAAATAAGCAAGCACTTGCAGAGCTGTTTTTGCAGAGTTGCTGTGTGGGCTATCAAAAAGGAATGCACAATGTGTTATGGTTCTGAGACGCAGCAATGCTGATGGGCGGTTCAGAGAAGCCCAAGACACAATCATTGCACTTCTTCCTGAAGCAGTCGATACTGTCTGCAGAGCCTGTGATCTGAACATGGCAATTGTTCATCCTTGTTCAAGATGACAGATTGCAAGCATTGAATACTTGCAGGAAGTAATAGCAGCAAAGCACAACAGTGTGGTTTTCACAGAACTTAAGGAATTCATGAAGCTGCAGAGTGACTGGGAAAACAGATGATGAAAATACAGCATTGTCTTCACCAGGGAATACTGCTAGATCAGCTGGGCAGATTCACTTCACTACTTCAGAGCTAAATTACATTGTAACCAGCCCATTGTGAAAATTGTCAAGTTTGGCGATTATTGCAGAAAGATTTATTTTCTGTTACTAAGCCTGACTTCATTGGAGTTTGATGCATCACAAAACCTGTTCAGCTGTACTTGCACCGTGGCGTGGAGGGACTGAGAAGCATCAGAGGGAACCAGTTTATGATTTTCTGTGCCATATGATCAGGTGAAATATCTGGCAAACTGTGTATTAGCCGCATATCTGTGCCAAATTATATGGAGGGACTATTTACAGGAACACTGAAGAAAATGGCAAATCCTGTGGTTTCTGAGCTGGCATAGTAACTGAATGTCACCTACATTTTCTCACTCCAGTATTTGTTTTCACACAAATTTCATGTTTATAGACAGAAATGGCAGAGCGACTGCTGCTCTCTCTCTTGGAAATCTTTCAGGCAGAACTGGATAATAGAGCTATGCAAAGCTTTGGTCACTGATTCAATTCAGCAGAGATTTGGCCCGATTTGGCGGCTGAATCTCTGAATCGAATCAGGAGACCCTTTAATCTCTCCGAATCAAATCGGAACCCTCTGAATCTATTCAGAGAGATTCGGAAAGATTTGGCGATTCAGATATAGATACAGCTTTAAATGTTTTTTCTACATACCTCAAGGCTTGCGAATGCTGAGATGGTAGTGCGGATGGAGCGTCCCACTGGAGCACGGGGTGGTCCCCAGTGCACTCGGTGGTGGCCCCAGAAGTGGCCCAGAAGCACTTTTGGTCCACTTCCAGATCCGCTATAGAGCACGCTGGGGACCCTCCCCCTGGCTCGGCGACTGGTGTCTCCTGGGTCTGGGGGGGGGCACCTGGGGTCCCCCCCGTGGCCGATTGCCAGGCTGGGGGGCAGGGGGGGGTCCCCCACATAATCGGTGACGGATTTGGAAGTAGACCAGAAGTACTTCTGGTTCACTTCTGGGTCTGCTGCTTAGCATGCAGGGAGGGCCCCCTGCACTCCTGCGGGATGCTCCATGTGCTCCATCATCACAGTGTTCACGAGCCACACCTGGTACCTTGAAGTATGAAGAAAAAACATTTAAAGCTGTGTCTATGGCTGAATCGTTGATTCTCCGAATCAGCATCGAGTCTTCAGATTCGGATTCGGCCTAATTGAATCGGGACAATGATCCAATCAACTAATCGAATCGCTGTCCCCCGAGTCGGGCCAAATCCGAATCGAATACAGCCCGCTTTGCACACCCCTGCTGGATAAATGAAAACAAATTAGAAGTTGCCTCCAGACCAAAATAAGTTCTTTGAAACACTGTATCCACATGTATCTCTAATAAATCATACCTTGTACCCACCAAGACCATGTTCTGTCCACAATTTCAGGAAGCCTTGCTGTGATAGAGATCTTTCAGTGCAGCGTTTTCCAACTTTTAAGCGACTGGGGGACCATACCAGCAGGGTTGCATGGCTGTGCTGCACCCCCTGCTGCTCCACTGTGGCACTCTGCATGCTGAACCATGCTCCCCCTCCACTATACTGTGCACCCCCACTGCATTGTGTACCGAGGTACCCCAGCTCATCCTTAGCTTCCTTACAGTAAGGTCTCTGACTGCACTGGGCTGTTTGGGCATCCTGGGCTGCAGGCTAACCAGCATTGAAGGCTGCATTGTGCTGCTCCCTGTGGCAGGGGCAGGCTGAAGAAGCTCGAGGGATGGGAGCCTGGAGTTCCAGGCTACTGCTGCAGCCAAAGCAATGAAGGCAATAGTGGTTGGGTGGGAGCTGGGCGGGGGTCCACAATTTATCCCATTGTGGCCTGCCAGCTAGACAATCGTGTTTCAGTGCTTTCTGAAGAATAAAGACTTGAATATAGAATTCTGAGTGGAAACTGACATAAAAGTTTAGTGCTTCTGCAGTTGTATCACAATATCCTAGTCAATGCTGACTAGGATTAGTCGATTCCTGAAGGATTTTGGACCATGTAATGATAGTTCAGTTCATTTGTTTTGTTTATATGGTACCTAGCAATGAACTTAGTTTTGCAGAGTAATTGAATACATTGATCAGAATGTGTTCTGTTGATGGGATGGTTTTTTATCTTACCGTTTGATTCGTAGTCTTGGATTAGTATATTCAGTACTTTATATTTTATGCATCCTAACTTCAAAGTATGTGCCATGGGCAAAATGGTGCTTATGTTGCGAGTGGGGAGGGAGTAACAACCTTGCAGCACCGAATATAAAGCTGAAATCCTGGCCGTGCGTGTTTGTCACCTTGATTACTACAGGTATTATTTACATAGGAAATTAGTAGACTGTTTTACAGTATCTGAATAGTCTTGTAATGAATTTGGTGTCTAGAAATTTAAGCGTAGACCATGTAACCAATCAGCTCTTTGTGGGCTATGATTTCCTATTATGTTGCTCAGTCCACACAATATTATTTCCACTTGCATTTACATACTATATAAAATGCTGTAGATTCCAGTAGGTGTCACTGCCCTCTTTGAATTATTAAAGGATCAATTCTTCCCTCGCATAGTACTGCAGGAGACAGTACTTCAAATGAAATCTAAAATAGATTCTAGTAGCTGTGTTAATTAAGATCACTTGTGTTAAGTAAAAGCTGTGGGTTGGCCCTGCATTTCTGGTTGATTTGCTTTGCATTGTCAAGTCATTTCTGCTGTATGTGGTATTTGCTTTGTTCTGTTCTGCTTGTTTTTATGCACTCTTAAACTTTTGTGACTTTTCACTTTTTAGGTATTTTTACCTTGCCAGTCATGATTTAACTAACCCCTTCATACATTTGAAATCTGTTCATTTGGAGTGCTTTAAAATCTCTGGGTTAAAGGTACTTTATAAACATTAGTCATTGTGTAGTTTAATTTGCTTGAATAATGCGTTTTTGCTTTCTTCTTTTCTTGTTTTTTTCCCCCTGTTCTGTGACTGTATGCACCCCTCTTCCCCCATTCATAGATTCATAGATGTTAGGGTCGGAAGGGACCTCAGTAGGTCATCGAGTCCAACCCCCTGCCCTGGGCAGGAAAGAGCACTGGGGTCAGATGATCCCAGCTAGGTGCTTGTCCAGTCTCCTCTTGAAGACCCCCGGGGTAGGGGAGAGCCCCACTGCCCTTGGAAGCCCATTCCAGATTCTGGCAACCCTCACGTTAAAGAAGTTCTTTCTAATGTCCAACCTAAATCTGCTCTCTGTCACTTTGTGGCCATTGTTCCTAGTTACTCCAAGCAGTGCCCTAGTAAATAGAGAATCTCCTATTCTCTGCTGCTCTCCCCTGATGAATTTATAGGCAGCCACAAGATCACCTCTCAACCTTCTCTTGTCAAGGCTGAAGGAGATCTAGGTCCCTCAATCTCTCCTCGTAGGGCCTTGCCTGAAGGCCTCTCACCATACGAGTGGCCTCCTCTGAACCCTCTCAAAATTCTCCGCATCCGTCTTGAAGTGCGGTGCCCAAAACTGGACGTAGTACTCCAACTGCAGCCTGACTAGGGCTACATAGAGAGGAAGCATCACCTCCCTGGACCTGTTTGTCATGCATTTGCTAGTTAGCCTTGTTGATCACTTTGTCACATAGACAACTCAAGTTTATTTTGGAGTCAACTATGACTCCAAGACCCCTTTCTGCTGCTGTGCTGCGGAGAAGGTCGTTCCCCCAGCCTGTAAATGTGTTGGTGGTTCTCTTTGCCCAGGTGCAGCACTTTGCACTTGTCTTTGTTGAACTGCATCCTATTTCGTCCTGCCCATTTTTCCAACCTGTCCAGATCCACCTGAATCAGTTCCCTACCCTTGGTGTGTTAACTTTGCCCCATAATTTGGTATAATCTGCGAACTTGGACAGGGTGCTGTCCATGCTCTTGTCTAAGTCATTGATGAAGACATTAAATAGCACCGGTCCACGGACCAAGCCTTGTGGGACTCCACTGCTCGCATCTTTCCAGATCAATATTGACCCATCCACCATCACTCTCTGGATGCGACCCCTCAGCCAATTTGCCACCCACCTGACTGTGTAATCATCTACATCTTATCCTGTCAGTTTATTTACGAGAACAGAATGAAATACCATATCAAAGGCCTTCTTAAAGTCTAGGTAGATGACATCTACCTTGACTCCTGCATCTTAAGCATTTTGTGACCTGGTCCTAAAAAGAAACAAGGTTATTCAGGCAGGATCTACCTGCAGTGAATCTGTGCTGATTTCCTTTCAGCATTATTTCCCCTGCTGGGCTCCCACAAATGTGGTTCTTAATGATTTTTTCCAGCATTTTCCCAAGGATAGAGGTGAGACTAACTGGCCTATAGTTTTCCGGTTCCTCCCTCCTCCCCTTCTTGAAAATAGGGGCCACATTGGCCCTTTTCCAGTCCTCTGGAACCTGACCACAGCACCATGAGTGCTCGAACTGCCGTGCCAGCAGCTCTGCTATGACACTGGCCAATTTCTTCAGCACTCTTGGATGAAGTTCATCCGGGCCCGCTGATATGAACACATCCAGCCCCTCCAAGTGCCCCTTCACAACGTCTGTGCTAAAAGTTGGTGGGCTGGTGTCCTGCCTGTGTCTGTCTAGGAATACAGATGCAAGGAATTCATTGAAGAGCTCAGCCTTGTCCACCCCCTCTGTCACCAATTGCCCTAGTTTGTCCTGTAGTGGTCCTATGCTACCTGTGCCTTCCTTTTGCTCCCTATATACCTGAAGGAAGGACTTTTTGTTGTCCTTAATTTTTGTCACCAGCCGAAGTTCTAATCCTGCTTTGGCCTTCCTAACTGATTCCCTGCAAGTGCGAGCCAAGGAGGTATACTCCTCCTTGGTAGCTACCCCCTGTTTCCACAGCCGTATACCTCTTTCTTTGCCCTTAGGCTCTCCTGGACTTCCCTGTTCAGCCAAGAGGGCTTCTTGGCCCCTTTGCCCCTTTTTATGCGCAATGGGATTGTCTCCTGCGCCCGTAGGATCACTCCCTTGAGGAACAACCACCCTTCCTGGACCCCCATTTCACCAAAGCTCTTGAGCTTTAGTGCCTCACTAACTAATATTTTGCCTATACTTGAAGTTGATCAGGTTAGATAAACTTCCTCTGCACTTTGAATTGTATACACTGTTTGTCTTTTTTATCTTAAACCACAATGAGCACAGTTAAACAACTGTTGCATCCTTTTTTCCAGAGGTTTTACTGTGATAATTGTGTGATTTTTTTTTTTTTTTTTTTGATTTTTTTTTTTTAAATTGTATTTGTGTAATTCAGGTAAGTTGGAAAAGTGCTTTGGGATCCTTAGTCTTAAATGGTATAATAATAGGGGGTTCTTTTCCCAAGGTATATTCAGTGACTAGTTCTATTTTTCTAGACCTTCATATTTCATATGTAGTATCAGTGTTCTACAGTCAGCACTTTGATTTCAATTATTACTTTCTCCTGCAAATTGGAAAAGCTGTCTCTGAAACAGTGATTTATCATAGAGGCACACAGTAACCTTTTTTTCTTTTCCTTCAGGTCGCTTAAGCCAAATTGGTTTAAAGGAAGGACTTTCTTCTGCTGTGAAAAACATCAGTTCTGTAATTGGAGTCTTTGTACAGCATGCAAAAGAAGAAGGTAAGAAATTTTTTCATGGTAAAATCCTCTAAATGTTCTGGTGATTTTTTTTTTTTTAGTGGTAATGATGGTGGCAGTGGTGACACTGTGGTGGTCCAGGGCCGTAAGAAGCAAGATTTGGGAGTTTGAAGCATTGGTATAGTTGAGAGATGGGGAACAAGCTTTCAGGCTGTGGGGCACCCTTCCTCAGGTCTAGGAAGAGAAGTCCAAGATAAGCGGAAGTTAGAGCAATTGTTTTAGTAAGTTATTTTAATGGATTAGACCACTTTTGGCTTGTTGGTCCAGTGAAAGATATTTGAATATTTTTGGTAAACAGGAAACTGATAATGTTCAGTTGTTCAAGAATCTTCTCAGAAAGTTCTGAGAAGGTTCTTGAGCAAGTATATAGTTGGACTGATACAGAACAGTACCTTCTTCCTCAATTGGGCCCTAGCCTCAGCCTTTACTAGTTGGGAGCCCATTAGTGATCTCTTTGGCTTGTTCAAGTGGCAGTGACTAGAGGCAAGTTGTAAGGGAAATTAGTGTGTCAGAAGAGCCTAGAAGACACCATTGAAATCATGGTAGAAACAGAACAGTTATTACTAGATTTTCAAAGGGACACAAGAGAATTGGGTATGTACTTCTCTTTAGAAATCCAGCTCCATTTGAATTTGGAAGTTTATTTTAGGGTGATAATTTTTTAGTTTTTTAATGGTAAATATGGGTGAAAGACGCATACACATTTTAAAATGGTGCTTCATATTTTTGATCATCATACTGCCTATTAATTTGTTTTACTAAATGTTAATATTTGATGAGGTTAAGATTCTTGGGTTCAGGTAAAATAGTTTTGAGTTTGTGTGGACTGACGCTAAGATATTATCAACTCTTTGCAGGTGTGCCATGGGGTGTGCAGCTGGCAGCGGTGTATGCACTCTTGGACTTGGGTCCAAGCAATCCAGTAGGAATTCTTGAGGCTATCCAACCTTGGAGAGCAGCAGCTACTAACAGCATCCCAACTGCAGTCAATAGTGGCATAACTGAACTCAGCTCCCTATCTACAGCAGAATCAAACTAAGCCATTGGGAAGGAGGTTCATCATCTATGGAAAAAGTGCCTTTTATTACACTGGATGGCACCTTTTTAAAAAAGAACTCTTACAACAATACAAAAAAGAAAAAGCCATGAAGCATATGCACCCATTTAATTACATAGGCACTGTGTACCCCCTTGGGAATAACAAAGGAGGCACTGAAGGATTTTGTTTGCCCTTTCTGCTGCAGAGACATCCAGAAATATTTAGGGTTTTTTTTTCTTTTCTCTTCTTTTTTTCTTCCTGGTATAAGTCATCAGTTATATAAAAGCTATTGGCTTATTTGTAGTCCAGGAGTATCTGGTTTAAAATAGAAAGGTTCTGTCTTGATTAGTCTTCCATTAGCTGAAAATCTGGCTACTACACCTCTTGTCCTTTTGATGGACTATTTGCCAAAACAGAAGACAAAGCCTTGCATTGAGGGAAAAGAAAAAAATATTGTTTTATGTTTGTCCATAAAATAACTGTTCAGGTGTATTTATTATATTTTATATGGAAGATGGCATCCCAATGGTAAAAGCTTAAATATTTGGCCTGCATCCTGCTTTACTTATTTGTAATTAGCTTCATTGAGGTCAATGAGTCTACTCGGATAAGGCAAGTGGGAATGGGCTCCTTGTGTAACAATGTTATATATAGTATAAAAGATTCAGAGGTAATGGATCTCTGTGAGTTTGTATATATGGTATACTCCTATAATGTGTTTCACATTTGATGTTGTTCCACTTTGGGAATTTTAGTGCGTGTATATAGGAAGTTGGGTTAAAAAAAATCTTTAAAATGTTGAAACTTCTAATGTAGTTTCATGTGTACACATCAGGCTTTTTTTAGGAAATGTCTCAAAACATTTTTATAATAAAAAGGAAATGCAAAACAATCCTGTGTCTATAGCAGTCACTTTTCACTTCAATTAGCAATTCATTTTAAAAAAGAGCTAAGAGGCAGCTGTCCAAAATAGATAATCGTCTTTAGAAAAACTGGCCATTTTTTCCAGCATTTGTTCAGCAACTGTTGGTTACCATGGTGTGTGTTCACGTTAGCGTTTGTTTTATCCATATGATGAGCTGAGTTATGAGTAAGAAGTGATTTCCCATCCCCATTAAAATGGAAAGCTTAGGTATAGGTAGCCTTGTTTCTTGGGTAGTAGACAGTGGCATAACACTTGAAACCTGTTTAAAAATCTATAGCCTTCTCGGGCAAGGTAAAACATGTTGAAGGCTTTATTGGCCTTAGTAGTGCTGCTGAAGATTACTTCTGGCAAGGTTAGAGCTGTACTGCTCACATGTAAACAGATCTCATGTTGAGGCTATTATAGATTCATAGATGCTAGGGTCGGAAGGGACCTCATCAGATCATCA